AAAAAACGAAGACAAACAAACAAAAAACAAAGCTTAGCTGCTCCAGGGAACCCCACTGCAGTCATTCAAACCTCCACCAACAACACCCAGTCGTGTTTCCTCTCCTTGGTATGAGGCCACAAGCGTTTGGGGCCTGACATCTGGCTCAAGCAAAGGAAGAGGCCCTTTGTGGGATCCCAGTGGGCTCTGTTACTCTGGGCAGCAGAAAGTGTGGTGCAAACACAATATGCCTGTGGGGGGTGGGGGTGTCTCCTCCCAGGAGTTTTTATCTGGGTTCTGCCAGGTGAGCTAGTGAGCTCGGTGGACACCCCTCCCTCTACGGACCTCCCTTTCTGTGTGTGCACAGTGAGAGAACTGGGCTGCCAATCTCTAAGGTCGCTTCTTAACTCTGAAATTCTGTGATTTAATAAAGAAGTCTTCAAAGCAGCTCCAGTGTGTTGAGGAACGTACACGATATCTGAAGAAACGTTTCCTTTTTCTGAAATAATGCAATTTAGCTGTTAGGATGCATATATTTTTTAGGAACAATGTGAAGAAAAGGTGTGGAGGAAACCAGGTGCATATTACTGAATGAAAGGAGCCAATCTGGAAAGGGTACACGCCAGATGATTCCAACTATGTGGAGGTCGGGGAAAAAGCAAAACTGTGGAGACAGTGAAAAGATCAGTGGTTGCTAGGGGTTGGGGGAAGAGAGGGGTGAACAGGCAGAGCACAGAGGATCTCTAGGATCTCTAGGGCAGTGAAACTACTCTGTGTGAGCCTACAGTGGTGGGTTCATGTCATCATACATTTGTTAATAGTGCATCAACGTAGGTTCATCCAGTGTAACACATGTACCAGTCTGCTGGAGGATGCTGACAATGTGGAAGGCTGGGGTGGAGGATGGTGTGTGGGAAATCCTTGCAGCTTTAGCTCAGCTTTGCTGGCAACTTAAAACTGCTCTAAAAAAATAAAATCTACTAAAAACAAACAATGTAAAATGGCTCCAACCAGGGATCTGAGGGTTGACTACAGCTAATTAATTACCAACAGACTTTTTTTTTATGTTTCTTAACAAATCTCGGGGTTTTTTCTGGAAAAAAGTGAGAACAACATAAGACATTTTATTTTTGTTATTAGTAATATATTTCTCCTAGTTTGACCTTAATGGATAGTAATTTTCAAGCTGCTCCCTGGAGCCTTTTCAGACACTGCTAGGACTGGTGGGATGGAAAGGGGGGAAGGAAAAGAGAGGAGAAATTAGGTAGCAAGGCAACTCAGCTGTGTCAAAATGAAGATTCTACAGCTAAAATTTTTGAAAACTTTCCTGTTTAAAATGATTGCTAGCCCTGTGCATAGTATAAAGATCTGAGGCAGTTATAAACTAGTTAAGTTTTATTGTAATTTTTCTGCCATAGTCCAGGCTGGTAAAAATATCTACTAAGAAGACATGTAGGCACACATTGCAAAGCCTGACAGTCTACAGACTCCTTAGAAAAAGATTTGTCTATGTTGTCTATGCCTCCTTTTGATTCACCACATCATTCACCATAGTTACCTTCATTGCGAACTCGTGGACTCTTTCACCAGCCCATACTGGATGTGTGTGTGCATCCACCAAACCTGTAATCAAGAAATCAAATCACTTTTAAAGTTAAGAAAGAGAAAGCCCCAGCTGGCAGGTGACAACACCGTCCTGCTCCTTGGGAAGCACAATGTGGTCAGCCACCTCGGGGTGGGGGGCGGCGTCGGCAGAGAAGCAAGAATCTGTCTCTGTTTCCCTCACATAGAGGACACAAGCGGTACCTCTGAGTAGTTGTTCTCGAAGGCTCTGATAGAGGAGGGTAACTCAAAATTATGAAAATATTCCTTTAAAAATACAGCTCTTTTTGCCCTCAAGCCCATGCTCACCATAAACAGGATGTCAAATCTACTAATTGAGCAAAGAACCAAGGACTATGTCACCAAGGAATAATCTGGGTGTGAAAACAGACTCATTCAATCCCTACTCTCAACCTTGGAAAAATATGAAATCAGGAAGATGAATCTTTCTTCAAAAAAGAAATGTATTTTATATATTTATATAGAAAGAGAAACTATAAAGCAATCACTTGGAACATTTGTTTACCCTGGTACGGTTCAGAAAAGTGTGTCTTTCCAAGACATTCAAAACACCTAAGAGATGAAATGGCTTATGAGTGGGTTCTGACCTGGAGTAAAATCAAAAGTCCCTGTTCAAATGGCTTTCCAGTATAGTCTGGTTTCTCCCAGGGTTCCACCCTGACCTTATCTTCTATCTCCCAAGAGCCAGAAGGTAGAAGCTCTGTCAGATACACACAGTACACTCTTTAAATGCACAAATCTTAGCCTCTGGGTTTACATAGGACTCAAAATTTGTGAAACCTGTTTTAGATCATGACATGAAGCCATAAAACATAGACCCTGTAGGAGATGATGGCCCACAAACTGATTCTGTCGTCAGTCACTAAAGATACAAACGAACTTCAGCTACAGAAATCTCTAAGGATTTTTTTTTCCCATCTAGAGATGGGTCCTTTGTTTCACACTCTCTACTAATTTAAAGTATATTCTGGTAAAGATAGCAGTTTTCCCTCTTTGCCTTCCCATCCTGCCATCCTGCCACAATGCATTAATACAATTCTTCTGATGGTTTTGAACCTAAATACAACACAGCTGGTCTGTCTTCACTAGGAGAGTGGGAAGAAGTAGAACTGATGGGTGGGTTTGAGTCTCAGCTTGCAGTGTACCTGGTCAGCAGTCCCAGGTGAGATACTTCGCCCCTGAACTGCAGTGTTCTAATCTAAACAAGCTACTATTCTTCCTCTTGGCATCCTTAAAACTGCATTCAGGGTTTCACTGAAAAGAAGTGAATACCTGGCAAGATGCATTTCCCAGAACAATCAATTCTTTCTTCAAACGTTTCTTCAGAAAACTGTTTTTGAATAACATCAGCAGGACCGATGGCTTTTATAAACCCATCCCTGAAGAAAAATCAACAAATAATTAGTGAAGTTTGGGGAAATATTGTGAGAAATCTGACCAATGATTTAAAATAAGTTATCAATGTCTCAACATTTATTGTATTTCCTTTTTGGAGTTGTGTCTTGAGAAAATCGCCTCCAGCCACCGGTCAGGCAAAAAGTCCAATAGAACCTAACAGAGAATGCCAACTGCTCTCTGATGCCCATGTTTCCTTTTCCCACAGCGCCGGATTCCTGAGCTTCACCAGGACACATAAAGGGCCACCCAGAATAAAATTTCGTTTCCCAGTCTCTCATCAGCCTGCCGCAGCCACGTGACTAGGTTTCAGCCAGTGGGATCGTTCTCTCTTCCGCTGTCCTACTGGCTGGGAGACAGATGCCGGGAGAGCCGGAACAGCCACGTGGGGTGACGGAGTGACTGGAGAAGAAGGGGTGTGCGCAACAGGGCGAGACCGTGGGGGGCCCGAATCCTCAAGAAGTCTTATTTTGTGCAATTCCGTTAACTGACTTTAACAGCCTTTTGACAGTAGCACTGGAGATGTTTCTATCCTTTTGTCCATGAGAAACACACACATTCCCTAAAAGCTGGACTCCAGCCCTACCCTAAGCAGCCTCAGCTTTGGGTGAGAAGGACCGCTCTTGCACAACCGTCCCGCCACGTCGCTCTCCCCTTTGGCATCCGACCCCATCCCCGCCCCAGGCGCGCCCTCCCAAACTGGCTGTTCCGTTATGTGCTTCTAGCAGGAAACACAGAAAGTTTAATAAAAACAATTGGACATGCCCCCGTTCTCTGGTGGCTGAACCTTCATATCTTATAACCACAAACCATCACCATCCAGGGCGTTCAACCTTTTGGCAAATCTGGGCCACACTGGAAGAGTCTTGGGCCACACAGTAAATACACAAACACTAATGAAAACTGATAAGCAAAAAAAAGTTTTTAAGTATTTATGATTTTTTGATGGACCGCATTCACAGACATCCTGGGCTGCAGGTTGGACACCCCGACTGCCGTGGTTCTCAAGCTTTAGTGTACAGAGAAGGGGTTGGGAGAGGTATTTAAAAAAATTCAGATCTCAGCCCTGCCTGGCGTAGCGCGCGGTGGATTGAGCAAGGGCTGCGAACCAAAGTATCGCAGGTTCGATTCCCAGTCAGGGAACATACCTGGGTTGCAGGCCATGACCCCCAGCAACTACACATTGATGTTTCTCTCCCTCTCTCTCTCTTCCTTCCCTCTCTAAAAATAAATAAAATCTTAAAAAAAATTCAGGTCTCAGAACTCCACCCAGAGATGCTGATTCAAAAGATCTGGGGATGGAGGGGGGGGGGGCAGTGGGCCGGTGGGTGGTCTTAAATCTGTGCAAAAAAAAAAAATCTCAGGCCATCGGACGGACGCAGGTGGTCTCTTGGCTACACTTCAGGAATCACTGAAAGGAACCCTGACCCCTTCTGCTTGTCGGACAACGAAATTTTGTCGGCAGAGGTGGGATCCCGATGCGTCCCGGTGCCATGTGCAGCTGCAGTGCGTTTTTCCACGGAAGGACAACCTGAAGCCGTCAAACACGTCGGCAACAGGTTCTTAAAGGCTGCCCTGCCAACGTCTCCCTGGGCTCGGGGAAGCTTTCACCCGGTTTCCCTCCACAGCGCACAAGTTGGAGAAAAAGCGCCAAGCAGGGACTTGTCCACGCCGCCGCCACTTACGTGCCCACCACCAGGCTGGCGTCCTCCAGCACCGCCAGGCTGCGCAGCGCGTCCCGCACCAGGAAGCGCTCCCCGCGGGCGCACACCAGCACCACTTGCCGCGCGTTCTCCAGCAGGAGGCGGTGGTCGCCCGCCATGTCGCCTCGCGCCGCGGGTCGCGAGGCTGTCGCAGAGCTGAGGCCGTGGGAGGGACCGCAGAGAGTGCAGGTCCGCAGGCGGTGCCGCCCGGGGCCGGGAGGGTGGAGCAGGGGCGGCCTTTGCAAACCCGCGAGAAAAGCGCGCCTCCCCTCCAACCTTGGCAATGACAATCCCAGAATGCTGATTGATAACCAGTGTTCTAATGAGTCTCCGCCGTTTTGGTCGACTTGTCACGTTCTTGGGCAAATGTGGTAGAGATTAGAAACTGAAGTGCTGTCACCAGGAGAGAGAAAGGTGGGCTGCGGCGATCACGTGGCCAGGTGGAAGGGGGTCACTGTAGGCGAGGACTTTCAGAGTGGGTAAAGTGGGGAGAAGCCAGATAGAAGCAGGTGCGGGAACCTGGGGCAGGGCCCCGGGAAGGGACAGAAGGCGGGAAACCTCCGCCCAGGGGGCTGAGTCCAGCCTGGGACGCGGAGGGTCGCCTGCAGCAGAACCAGCAGGTAGCGAGGAGGCGGATGCGGTGGGGGAGCTGCTCCTGCGTCCGCGCGGCCACGAAGCAGGGTGGCGGGTGTCGCGTGTCGAGCATTCTTCGGTTGGCCAGCTTCGCTCCGGGATGCTCTACCAAGCGATCTCCGAGATGAAGGGGGCCCGGGGTGGGGGAGGCTAGAGCCGAGACTGGAGAATCGATTGGTGCCTCCACCCATCTCCCCCGTCTCCTTCCTTGAAGGATTTGTTGAGAAGGCTCCCGCATCCACAGTCGTTGAGGTAAAGGTGGTTTCAGCTCCCTGTGCCCCACGCCCCCAGTTGTATCTGGTCAGGCCTACCCTCCATTTGCATCGCAGGCTGGAGACCAAATCAAGTTTGTTTAAGGAAGACTTAGAGACGGTCTGTGATTCTCAGCCACAGCTCTCCCTGCCTATCAGTTGCTGTGAAAACACCGTCAGGGCTGCATTCTGTTAGGAATTTCTTGATTATTTCATTCAATTTATATTCTTTTAGTAGGAGCTTTGTGTCGTTAGGCCTGTGGAACATGTAAAGACACGCAGAAACTTTCCCTGCCTAGCACAGGCCACAGTCAAAAGGAAGACACTTATGGATACAATAACATACCATTAAAGGAGGTGTGAGGCCCATAAACCTGTAACATATTACAGTAAGTCAATTTAGTGTCATTTTAAAGCCATCTCAAAACAAAGAACAGAAAAGCAAAGACTCCTTTAGATGACACAATAAGTAAGAATATACTTTGGCTTCATATTGTGTCCATGAAAGAGAACCCAGTCAGGGAGAAAAGAAAAAGCAAAGAAAAAAAACTGGAAAAGAATTCAGTAGACAATGTGAGTCACAGAGATGGAAAAGGGAGAAAAAAAATCCCTAGATTATTCATAGCAGCACAGACACATAATCATGAACAGCTGTGTGTGTCCATACACAGATTTTAAAAGAAAGGTATAATACACAGAGAGAAAAGTAGAAATAGTGGAAAATAGAAACACAGAATCACTAATTCATAGAAAATATTAAAATGTTATATTATAAACTTTATGCTAAAGACTTGAATGTCACACTTTGCATGTATATTTGCAGATTTATGCAATTATAGAGGGTGAAGGGAAATTATAGGAAAATACAAGACTGTGGGATTCAGTAAACTTGTCTTAATCCCATTTCTGTTACTTATGAGCTGTTTGGCTTTCAGAAATTCATTTCCCTGAGCCTCAGTTTTCTCATCCGTATTGTGAGGATAACTGTTTCTGCTCTATGGACTTATCTGAGCTTTAACTATGATGGAATGTTAAACACTTAGCCCACTGCCTGTCTCTAAATAAGTCACAGCTATTATTATTGATAGTAGTTTATTTTAATCCTGCCCTTTCTCTTGCTGGTCAATTAAGTTAAAGGTTAGATTTCAGCAGTACTAGGTCCCCTCCTGACTTCACAGAATGCACCGTGTACTTCAAGTTTACAAGTTCTGGACAAGTTTAAAAGAAATCGTACTTTTTAAAACGGGGATTTATGTCCGTGGGAGCAGTGAGTGCACCTGATTACAGTCCAGATAAGCAACGTTGCCTGAATGGCCCCTGCGAATGAGAGGTCTGCAGATGCAAGAAGGATGAGGGTGGACTTCCCTCCTCCCTGGTCACCGTTCAGTAACTACAGAGAGGAAAGATAATGTGTTTCGTCCGTGGCGACCAACATCCCTGTAGTGGCAGCTCTTAGTGTCCAGGGTTATCGTCACATCATCTGACTCACACTGGCTGATTTCCCTTCCTCAATCTCCCTTCTACTTCACCTTCAGTTATTTTTTTCAGTTTGCAAAAGGGGCAGTCAGAGACGTCAACAGAAAAGTCTATGCCAAATAGCCAGCTTGACGTCAGCGGGGCCTTCAAGGTCCAGCTGAAGGTGATTTCTTCATCGGTGCGCTCTCCCTCTGACCTGACCCAAAAAGGCAGTGCTCGGTCAGGCCAAGGACCTCGTGGCTCCTGGCTCTCAGGCAAACAAAAAACTGCTGGCTCTGGCCTAGAGAGAGGACACAGTTCACAGCCCTTTCTCTCCTCATTTGTCCAAGTGGGTGGGAAGGAGGTGGGAAAAAGCCGGGAGTCATTGGGCCTGAGAGAATCTGTCTACATCCTCATTTGCATGTGGGAGATAAAGGTGTTCATCTCATATGGATATCTGCTTTCACTGAGTTTGTAGAGTTGTGGAAAAATTTAAACAGAAACTTCTTTGAATAATATCTGGTAGATATTGTTATTGTTAATTTTATTTAGAGTTGGTCTAGGGCTTACGTTTGGACGGAATAAAACCCGTTCCCCTTCCTCCACTTGCATGAAGCTTCTGCACTGAGAATAATCTGGAGAATCTGACAAGATTGCACTAATGGGGCGGAGGGGCGGGGGAGGTCAGATTTCCCCAATTTGCACTGACATTGCTGGCAGATTCCTCTCAAATGACCCAGTTTCAAGAACTTTAATTCAGGATTTCTCACGAAAGCTAGTTATCAGTCATCCCCACTGTTCTTTTCAAATGCTGGTAGTTATTCACAGAGAACCAGAAAGAGGACACACCTGGATGTCTGGTCTGAAGATGGTAGAATCAATTATTTCCAATAGCCTACTGTATGTAAGCACTTTGCTTACGTTATCTGTGTTCGAAAATAGCAACAGGTCTGTACGAAAGGTGTTAGTATCCACACTTGATAGAGGAACTTGAGGTACACTTAGTTCAATTGGATAGGCAAAAAAAAAACCCACCCCAAATCAAACAAACAAACAAAAAACCAGAACTGGTAAGAATCAGAGGCAGGATTCAAACCTGCTTGCCCCCAGAGGCCAAGGTCTTTCCACAGTGCCTTCACGCGGCCTCTGTGATGACATGCATCAAAGACGCTGACTCGGTGACCACGTATGATTGCATGGTGTTAGAGGAAGGCAAAAGTTAAATAAATCAGACAGCATAGGGTTCACTTGGAAGAACAGCATATTTTACATCCGAGTCTCTTAGATGTTTCATAAATGTGTCAAATTTAGCCTGTTCCAAACTGAAGGTTTGCTCTTCCCAACCACCCCCTCCCCCACAGCCTTCTGTGTCTCAGTTGATGGCAACTCTGTCCTTTCCTGACTGGGCTCTCTGTCTCATACCCCACGTCCAACCCCTCAGCCGCTTCTAAAGCTCTGTTTTCCAACTCTACCTAGAATCTGACCACCTCTCGCCATTTCCACCACTGTCCTGAGACCCCATTATCTCCTGCCTTCCAACAGGCCTCCCTATGGGACGCTCATCTCCCTCTGCAATGTCTTCTCAGCTCAGCAGTCGGAGTGATTCATTTCATGATTCTCATTTCACTGAGTCCATAATCCTCAGGGCCTCTGTTATTTCTCTGACCCCACCCATCACTCCCCTTTGTCCTCTGTGCGTACCAGTGTCCTTGCTGCTTCTCCTTAGAATGCTTTCTCCTTGGCTTGTGCTTATAAGGCACTTACTATACACCTGATGCTGTCCAAAGAGAGGGACATATGTCAACTCACCTAACAGTCCCAGCAGGTGGGCACCATTCTCACCCTCCCTTTTGGAAGATAAGGAATTGGAGTGTGAGGGGAGGAGCATGATGAGAGTCTGCTCTTAGTCATTAGCCTCTAGGCCGTGTGTAAAAATAATGGCTTACAACCACTAGCACTATTTTAAATCCCTGATCTTTCTGAGTTCTTTATCTTTTTCAGCTATCAGATGTTGGATTTGAGGTTGTATTTTAAACGTAAATTTGCAGGCATTTACTATGCAATTCAACAGCATTTCCCCTCTTTTTTGGTACCAAGCTATAGGTTAGTCATTATACTATTTTTATTTTGCTCAACAAAGACATTCACCAGCTTTGACTTTTTTTTTCCTGGTTGGTGCATCATATTGGTTTAGTTCAGAGAATGTTATAGTCCCCTCCTCAGCGTAGCTGGTTCTCTTCCTCTCTCACGTGTGCTTCACCAACCAGTTCACTAATCAGCAGGGGGTTAATACACATGGAAGTACAGAAGTATAACAACTTCTAGAGACTATTCGTTCTATTTACATGTTCTATGAGTCACTGGAGAGGAGGAATAAGAGCAGAGATCTGCTATTCACAGTTGGCTTAGAGAAAGAGGAACTTCCACTTTCCTGTAAGTGAGAGCGTGCCAGAACCCATGAATAAGGTGTTTATTGAAGACAGACTTTTTAGGACAAAGGGAATGGGAGTGGGGATGGAGAAGAGAGCAAATTCAGAAAGAAGCATTGAAGAAACAAAAGTATGACAAGAAAGAGGTGAGCAGAACCTTAGGAGTGAAGATAAGTGCAAAACAGAAATTTAAGAAAATCTACAAGTCTTTATATTATCAACCCCACAGATTATCATCAATTTTTCACCAGTCTTTCTTTCCCGCCTGTCGGAATAAACCTAATACCTATGAAAAAATTCTCAGTAATATCAGTGCTGTAGATTTTTATTAACTTTTCTCTTTTATAAGCTTTAATGTAATTTCTTTTTCATCTTTGTTTTTGTAATTACTGGAAGTCAAATCACATATTAACTAGTAAATATTAACACTTAATAACTCCCACTTACTGAGTTCTGTCTTATGCTAGGCACCTTGCCTTGTTGTTTATGCAGTTGATCTCATTGAATCCTCATGGAAGGCTTAGAAATGGAACTATTATTCCCATTTTATGCAATAGGAATCTGAGACTCAGAGATGCTGAGCAATTAAACTGTAGGTTCCATGCAGACAATAGTTTTTGTCCTTTTTGTGTGCATGTCTTATTTTTTAATAGCCCTGTCTCCAGCACCTGAAACAGTGCCTGGCACATAGGAGGTACTCAAGAAATATTTTCTAATGTGAAATGAACTTGCTCACACATCTGTAAATGCCAAACCAACAGGCTTGTCCAAAGTCTGTGTTCTTTTTTTTTTAAAGATTTTATTTATTTATTTTTAGAGAGGGAAGGGAGGGAGAAAGAGAGAGAGAGAGAAAAACATCAATGTGCAGTTGCTGGGGGTCATGGCCTGCAACCCAAGTATGTGGCCTGACTGGGAATCGAACCTGCGACCCTTTGGTTCACAGCCCGAGTTCAATCCACTGAGCTATGCCAGCCAGGCAGTCAAAGTCTGTGTTCTTAATCACTTGCTACAGTGCCTCTGGGACACTTGGCTCTTAAGTGTGGCTCTTTGAGAATGCTGAGGCACAAATTAAATGAGAAACCTGATATAGGATGTTTTGTCCCACTTTTCCTATTGTGGGTACACCTTTTTATATAGACTCCTGAACATCCTTTCTTCCCCCCCATTAAAATACCATTGTTATTATTATTTATTGTAAAAATTACACAAGCTCATTGAGAAATTTGAATGATACAAAAAAGCACACACATTCTAGACAAGGATTAGGGTGAGGCAAATGAGGCATTTGCCTTGCATGCAACATTTAAGGGGGAGGCAAAAACTCTGTAATCAAACATTTTAATTCACTATTTTAAAAATAAGGTTTAATGCAAAAATCCATAGTGAACAAAATATCCAAATGTTAAGGCTAGATCTGTGGGCTGGGGCAGGGTGTGGCGAGCGTGACACTCACTCTGAGTCACCTACATGTGGTGAGATCCCATCCACATTTAAATGTTTGATATTTTATCTTTAATTGTTTCCTGCATTAATTTTTATTTTTTAAGGCTTGCATTAGCATGTTATTTATGTTACTAACTGAGTTTTGAGGGGCATTTCCTTAAATTTTGCAGCCAAGCTGATTGCCTCACTCAACTAACCTGCATCCCAAACCTGATAAAAATGAAAGGAGATTGTTCCAATTCAGCGATGACCATTATTAATGTATGGGGAACATTTCAAACACCTCCCTTATTTGCCATGTGTTTTTATCTACATTATTCCTGTCCTTTTGCTTATAGAGTATAAGTATGATGTCCTTATAGAGTAACTAATGCTACAGCATGGTTTTATGGGGCCACATGGCAATCCATTTTATGTGTACACCATCACCTTTCCTACCAGTTTCGACACGATTTCTTCTTTAATTCTGTAGTTGTAGGACTTCCATTCAGCTCTATTTCTGACAGTTCTGAATGATGGTCATTCTGTTTAGTTTAGTTGTACTTTTGATATGGTTGTGCGAGGAGGAAAGCCAGGCTTACCTATGCTGCCATCTTGACCGGAAGTCCCTGCACTACTTTTAAAAGCAATAAAACCTATTTGGGAGTAACCGGCAGTTGAATTTAGTGACTTTATGCCAGGTTTATAGAATGTTTTCCAATGTGTTTTATTTTCTTTGGACAGGACCAGGAGACAAAATGCCATCACCTTTTTTGTCAAAACCATTGGCTTCTAAAGGTAAGGAAGAAACCAGTCCCTGAGTTCTTGCTTTGTGCCTAGCACAGTTAGTCTCCAAAGCGGATTGGGTGAGTAAGAAAAGGAGAGTGCTACACGGTGAACATCAGACATGGTCTCTCTACGTAAAGAACTTATGAGCTACTTGCTCAGACAGTTCCTTTCTAGTCCTTAATTCTCAAAAGAAAAATCTTTAAATACTGTTGTATTTAGCGAGATTACCAGTCTTTCATGACATAAAATGATGAACTCAATTATTTGTTATGATAAATGACAGGAAGAACTACATTTTATGAAAATATGTCCTCTCCTTTCCTTTACCACCCTCTCTCTTGTTATCCTCCCACTTCTTTACAAGTTTTCAAGGAATTAGTATTGATCGGTATGTAGTAATAATTTTTTACACATAAATTTGATGAAGATTTAAAAATTGGAAAGCCCCAAGAACTTGTTATGGGTAACAGGCACTGTATAGGGATTCTCTTTGAAAGAAATTTGGTCCTCTCTGTATTTAGAATTAAAACATTTGGCTGTAGCTGACAGAACATATAAAAAGAACAGGGGCTTAAATGTGATAGAAGTATATTTCTCTCTGAGATAACAAAGTCTGCACATAAGCACTCCAGAGTCCATCCATATGGAGGCTGACATCAGGGGCCTGGGCTGCTTCTCACTTTTTCTGGCCTGTATTCTTGGTCCTGGGTGACTGCCTCTGTACCAGTGGTCACACCCATCCATACTCCTGCCAGCAAGAAGGAGAAAGTGGGAGGCGGGCACACCCCTTCCTTTTAGGACATTTCCTCAAAGTTGCACTCCCCACTTCTCCTGACAACCCCTCTCCCCAGGACTCAGTCGTATAGCTAGATCCAGCTCCAAGGGAGGTCATGACCTCCCTTTAAAATAAAGATAAAATACAGTCTTTACTATAATAAGATAAAATATAGTCTTTACTTTGAGTATGTGCCAAGCTAGAATTAAGGGCCCTATTCTTAGAGAACAGCTAGTCAACTTTTTACATCGTGGCTTGAATAAACTAATTTCTAAAGTTCTGTGGCACATTAAAAGACATTTTTTGCTGATCTAACAAAAAATAAGTATAATTTTGATTCATTGACACCAGATGGCTATTGTTGCATTGGCTGTTATTTTTTCATTTAACAATCTGCAGGGAAAGAAGTCAGTGCCCCTGATTGAACAGTCAGGTATTGCATGTTTTAAAAATTCTTGTGGCACACCGGTTGAAAATTGTTGCTATAGAAGATGGGAAAATGGGTACCGAGGGACCGCCAAATTATCTGAAAAGCATTTAAATAGGGTGTTGAGAAAATTTCCCAAAGTACTAGTATATTGGAATTGATCTCTCAAGGAGGACAGGCCAAGAGATAAAAGAAAAAAGAGGTGAACAACTCTGGAATCAAACAAAGTTTATTAAGGGAACTTATGGACGGAAGAGAGTTTGGGGCCTCAACAAGAAGGTGGATTTCCACACCCAAAGGGGGATGGGGGCTTGATCTATACAGTCTCCAGGCACACAGGTGGTTTGTAGCCCAGTGATGTGTGCTTGTTAAGAGCTGTGCATTCCAAAGCATTAAACAACTTAATGGGCCTACTTACCTATATAAGAACATTCCTTTCAGGTGATGTGGGCAAACTGTTGATCGCTCAGAGCAACTTGCTTCTTAAGATGGCCTCAGTCACAGCAAGCACCAGAACCCATTTTGCCTAACAAAGGACCATGCTGACAATTTATTCTGCAGATAGGTGTGCTCCAGTGATTAAAGAAGCATATAAGAACAGTCAATCCAGCCTTGCTTAAAATAGCAGAAGACTGGGTTCAACCCTAATGTCCTTTGGTGTGGGACTGGTTATATAAAGTATGATACATCAAAGGAATGGGCCACTGGATAGCTGTTCTTTTTTGATGAAATAAATATGTAAATGCTGATGTAAAAAGAACTCCTAAACATATTACTAATTAAACAAAAGCAAGATTCAGAACAGTCAAATAGTATGCATTGAACAGTCTATTTTATTAAAGGATTTAGGGTTCTTTGTGAAAAGCTGTGAGAAATCTAAGGTTAGTATGGTAAACATTCATGTACAAGTTTTATGTGGACAAATGTTCTCACATCTCCTGGATACACACCCAAGTGTGGAATGGTTAGATCATGCAGCAGCTCTATGTCCAACTTGAGGAACTGCCAGACTGTTTTCCAAAGTGGCTGCGTGATTTTGCATTCCCACCAGCAGTGCGTGAGGGCTCAGTTCTTCCACATCCTTGCCCATACTTGTTATTATCTTTGACTTCTTTCAAGACTCTATAGACTGAGGATCTCTGTAAGGGTATTGTATGAATCTATTGTGGCAAAAATGGTGGTATAAGGGTAATGGTGAGTTTATTTGTAGGGGTGGGAAGAATCAACACGTTAATATCTCAATATATGATCCCACTAACCTATAATAAGCCCCTTTATCTAAATACTCACACACAAAAAATACAGACTCATTCCCTGTGAATCACCCAGCACTGTCCTCAGTGCCATGGGAAACAGACAGGGGAGCCGCAGCCCCTGCCCCTGGATGCTGGCCCCACATCCTGCTGGGGAGGCAAAGCTGACTGCACCTGCCTCTGTGAAGACCCACTGATCCCCCTCACTCTCCTCTGGCTGGTGGGAGCCTGGCCACCTGGTCAATAGAGAAGGGATGACACAAGTTTTCCTTTCCTTTTTCTTAACAGATAAACGAAAGGATGAGTCCACCAAAAAGCAGGGGCCATATAAGATCTTTTTCAAAGATCTCTTTCTTTTCAAAGACACTGAAGCGGCAGAAAAGAAAAAGGTATGGTTTTATTAAAATCCCAATCCCAGTCAATGTTAGAAACATATCCTCTTATCAGTCACTTTTACAAAATTTGCTGGGGTAAGGTACGGAGTCAGATGTTGATGTATGGGCTATGCACTGTGCTGGGGCATGGTATGTACACACACACACACACACACACACACACACACACACACACACAGCAGAACAGTACCCAGCCTGTGGTGGGGACCTAATGATCGCCCCCTACTGGAGGAAGACAGACACACACTACAATCCACTATGACAAGTACACATATAACCTTACTTCATTGATTTTAATAGCCACATCTTTTCACATTTTCTCATTCCTGAAACTGAGATCCAGCTATAGAGGCAGGGTGGAATACACAACTGGAAGTGCATAAAATAACAGTACATCTTACATTCCATGACATCTTGTTTTAAGATAATATTATATTTGGTATATTAGAAATTCTTTTAAATTTTCTCACTTGGGCAGGAAAAACTCTTGAACCACAACAAGAAAATCCACCAAAAGTCTACCTTTTCATCACGAATGAAGAGTCGTTCACACCTGAGCCAGATAGCAATCCGCACTGACACTGCTGCTGCCTCGTTTGAGAAATTCATGCTGGACCCTGCTCTTATTCTCAGGTTACAAGAAGGTGAGTCTAAATGGCTGTTTGTTTAAAAACACTGTTTGAATACTTACTATTGATATTGGTGGCTATTCTGGAGATGAGAAACACAAAGTATGCTATCTCATTATATGGTTGGGGGGTTTTTGTAGATGTGGGGTTGAGAGTCAGGAGAAAATCTGTTTTAAATAGGAAAACATACTGTGCCAAGAAACAGGCTGTCCCTCATTTTCGTGGCTCTGAGGAAGGCGGCCACTGCCTAAATGCCACAGCATTGACGTTAATGGCTCTGGCCATTTAAGTTCAGTTCTCCATCTAGAACTGAATCTAGAACTGAATTTAAAAGAAGTCTTTCTAAAGAGAAGTCTTGCTTGTCTGGGCTATACAACTCACATACTGAGAATCAGGAAGCTAATAAAATGAAATAGTTTGCCTGTGGTTGCAAAAACAACCTGTTTCAGTGACCTATGCAGGCAACATGCTAAAATACTACAAACTATTAACTACCGCTCCGTGAAAGAGGGCGGCCTGGGAATCAAAACATCATGGCCATTTCCTACTTGTCAGATCGAGAAGTGCCCGCAAACCAGATAGGAAGCAGCTGGAAGCTAGCAAGGTTAAAGAGATTAATACCAGGATGATGGATTGCTTAAGACAGTCTCCAAAATGAGTTTTATTCAAACCTTTAAATTAAAAACTAAAATGGAAGAAAGGGAGGAAGGGAGGGAGGGAGGGAGGGAGGAAGACCGAGTGTCCAGGATTTGCTGTGGTACCTCAAAAAAAAAAAAAACAAACACATTTCTCTGGCTCCTGAAGTCCAGGCGCTTTCTCAAATATTGAAAACATTTTTTTCCCTCACAGAAAACCACTTAGGAAGGAGCTTGGGATTCAATAATGACTGTAGAAAAGGAAGCCTTGTCGACTCGCTTAGAAGGTCTTGGCGGTGCACAGCCTGCACTCCCGTAGGCAAAAGCGGCAGGTGATAGACAACACAGTGATGCCCGCGACTGGACCGCTGATAGGGCGGGTCTAGGTCCAGTCTTGTGTCTCATGTCTAAGGCTCACCTCTGTCACACGGTGAATCCTGAGTCACCAAGTGCATTTTAAATCACACGTGGCATGTTTTAGAAAGAGTTGTGCACAAAGTGGCTAACTTCTAAAACCCTTGCCGCTCGGACCGTCTGACGTAGGGAGGAGGCACGACACCGCAGCTGACCCCATTCGACACCACTGGTGGTTAAGAGAGGGGTAAAGGGTGTCGGGCAAACTCTTGAAAACGAAATGGTAAAATTGTCCAGTATTATCCAAGGTAACCTGGGCTCTGTCTGCAAAAGGCAATCAGGTCGTCAGTTTCCACTGATGACACAGATAATTGGACATTTTCATTTAAATAAGAAAGTCCCCCTCTCACTCTTTCCAACTGAGAACTGCTTTGGGCAAAACCCTCATTCCCCAACCTTGCACTTCCTGCCTGAATTCAGATTACAGACAAAGCTACATGATAGTCCCATGAGCAAGCGACCCCTACTTTGGGAGCCCAGGTTATTTTATTTCTGTGTAGGCAGCAGTGGCAAACTACTACATCACCATCCCAAAAATTACACGGGCAACTGCCATAGACCAGTCCGCTAGGAATATGACAGAAGTGCACTTCCACCTTCCTGCGCCCAGCAGCTCGACTTAAAAGGGCAACCCCTCTGGGTCACATCCCTGGGAGTGGTGGGGGTCTCGGGCGCCCAGGAACAGTAGTGCTTTGTGTGGGGCTTTGCCACACATGGTCTCTGGGTCAAAGCAGCTGCCAGAGCTGCCTGAGAGCTGGCAAAGCACTATAGCCAGTCTATTTAGAACTGAAAAATCAGATCCATTCAGCCAGACAGTAGCATCTTAAAGTAGCCTGGAATGGTGCGCATAGCTATAATATTTAAAATAACCCTATACAATAGGATTATTTTTGGATATTGAAATTTATTTTCAATTCATCTGACCCATCATAACTGACCAAATGAAAGCCATGGTAAGGCCTTTCATTTTTTTCTATTAAAAATGTTTAAATAAACTGAACCTGAATCTGATCAAGTAAACACAGGAGTCTGAGAACTATGCTCAACACATCCACCCTGGCCAGCGTGTCTCAGTTGGTCAGAGTGTTGTCCTGCAAACCAGAAGGCCATGGGTGCCGTTCCCGGTCAGGGGACGCGCATAGGTTGCCGGTTCCAGTTGATGTTTTTCTCCCTCTCTCTCCCTCCCTTGCCCTCTCTCTAAACCAATTAAAAATTTAAGAAAATAACCCCATGAGAATGCAATCTGCCAGAACTATTTTGTATGAAATTCTACAGGAACATTGACCTGGTTTCTCAAACAAATAAAAGGCATGGAAGAAAGGGCAGTGTATGGAGAGGAAGGTGGCTGTTGTAGATTTTAAAAATAGACTTTAAGAGTCATACCAGCCAAATTGATCTTTATTGAAATTTAATTGTTTTTTAATTCTAAATAGGTTTTTTTTTGAGACAGTGGGAAAAATTTAAACCCAGACTTGGTATACAATACTAAGAAATTGTTCATTTTGTTTGGGATGATAGTGGTATTATGGTTATGTTTACATTTTTTTTGTTATATGTTAGAGTTACATACTGAAGTATTTATGAATGAAATAATATCTTGGATTTGCTTTAAAATATCACAATGAGGAGAAGAATGAAAGATGGCAACCGATGAAGCAAAACTGGTAAAATGTTGACAACTTGGAAGTTGTGTTACGTGTGTGGTAGTTCCTTAGAGGACTGCTTTTGTGAATGTTGATGATTTCTATAACAAAAAGTCTTTTTAAAGTATTTTTTTAAAATGGTGCTAACTCAGCATTTGTTACTTTCATGTATGTTATTTTATTTAATCTTCAACAAACTGCTGTTACTGGGTTTTGCCTCCTCCTCTCTTTATCTGGGGAACATGGCTCAGTGAAGTTCAGTTTCTTACTCGAAGTCATCAGCGGATGCAGAATTTAAACCAGTGCCTGTGTGACTCCCAAGCTGCTCGTCTGTCATCCACCCTCGGCACTATTCGTCAACGATTATGATGATAGTTATTATTGAAAAATTAAATGATTATTCCAATTGTATTTTTGAAATAACGACAGCTAGCAATCATTAAGAAATTACTATGTGTTCTATAATACATTGCCTCGCTTCATTTTCGCAACACCACCACCGTAAGGTGGACAGTAATGATAGCATATCTACTCGGTAAATTATGCCGTGGCAATAAACCAGCCCCGAACCTCAGCAGCTTGCAGCAGAGCTTTATTTCTCACTCACTCTTCAACTTCGGTGCTTTTCACTGAGGCCTGGACTGAAGCAGCAGACCCTGCCTGGATGGTGCTGTAATTAGGGCGAGAGGGAGAGAGGGAGACACGTCTTACTGGGAGCAACATAGGTCACGTCCCATGGGGCCACATCAAGCTAATGGGCAAGCCCAGCATCAATGGAGTAGCGGCAGGGGTGGGAGGATGGAGATGATCTCACAGAGAGGGGCAGCAAATATTCTTGAACCATAATATAACTAATCTACCACAGTTAGCATCCTATTTGACTGAGGCTTGGAGAGGGAAAGTCATTGACTCACCCACCCCACAGCTACCAAAAGGTGGAGGCAGAACACAATCCCAGGGAGACTGTGGGCTTCCTCCTGCAGCCCAGGCTCACTGGCTATTTGGGAAATACTGTTTTCTCTCTATTTCCAAGTACATTTTTAGTAAAAGATTTTATTTGATATCACGCATTCTGCTGGTTTTTCACGAGGCAAACATTGTTGAAATATAGCCTACATGTTGTGTAATTTTTCCAGAACAAAGAAACCTTGCTAGGAAACTTTGGTATTTTCTGTTGCCAAACGGTAAGCTGGTTGTCATCTTCCTTTCCTGCCATAAATTGGTGTGTGATCTCCAAACACACTTTACCCAAAGACTCCAGTTTTATGTCCAGAATGGCCAAAGGGTTAAGATTTAAAACAGCTAAGTTGTATTTAGCACAGGCTTCGGCGTCCTATGCCCTCCTTCTACCTGTTAGCTGTGCAATCTTGGACAAGCATCTCGACGTCTCTGAGCCTCAAGACCTCACATACAGGATGGGGATAGTACCCAGTGCCTCACTGGGGTTACTGTTAGGATGAAGTAAAATGGTGTTTTGAAGTCTCTAATAAAATTCCCGGAATATTATGGACACAAGTAAATGGTAGTTACTCTAATTAAATTAGTTTTAAGTCCAGGGACATACTGAATGCAATCATTTAATTACATAGCTTTTATTTTATGCATCTTAGAGGGATAATGAACTAAACCTAAATCAATTTCAATTTTCTTTACAGGTGCAGATGTAAAAAGGAATATCCATGAATTTATTAATGACCAGAGACACAGGTTTCTGCTCGAGGTAGTAAAAATGATTTGTCTCCCAAATATAAGACTTATAGTCTTACATAGGCTATAGTCTTATAGCCAAATATAAGACTTCTCGCATAGCCCTGCCAAATTTTCACCGTGACACTCTATTTTCCCATTACATGCCCAGATCTATTGCCTCTCCGATCCACTTCTTCTAAACCCATTTCAGCCAGGCTTTGGCGCTCATCATTCCACCAAAACCACTTTTGCCGAATTCGAATGGGCACTTCACAGGCTTCCTCTCACTGGTCTTTGGGCAGTAGCGGGTCCATTGGGTCACTTCCCCTCTCTGGAAACACTTTCCTCAGCTGGTTTTCGGGATCCACTCTCTCTCGGTTCTTCAACGTCACTGGCTGCTCCCTCCTTCACAGTTTTCCCCTCCTGTCCCTTTTCTCCTTGCTCCCTGGATGCTGGAACATCCCAGGGCTCGCTCCTCACCTGTGGTCCACCGCGCCCCTCCAGGCCACGGCTTTCACTTCCGCTTCCATATTAACAACTTCCAGATTTACTTCTGCAGCCTGACCCTCTCCCTTGAACTCCAGACTCACAAATGCAACTGCAGTTCTTCATATCTCCACTCAGACGCTCACTAGGCATTTCTAGGACTTGGCCCCTGCTGCACTCTTCCCGAGCCCTGCAAACCTGCACCTCATGCAGTCCTCCTATCTCAGTAAACAGCAAGTCCATTTTTCCCAGTCGTTTAGGCCAAAAATATCAGAGTTATCCTCCACTCCATCTCCTTACCTTACCACCCGTATCCAAATACACTTTCAAATATTTTGTCCAAATATATCCATAATTGCACTGCTTTTCGTGACTGCCACAGCTGCCACCCTAAGTCTGTGTCACCAATATCTCTTGCATGAATTCTCCACTCAGCACCAGGAGTCTATCCCCACCCATGCCCCCTTCTGCTGAAGACCATTCATCAGTGACTTACCTGGTGCCCAGTGTGCGCGCACTCTTTTTCTCTCTCTTCCTCTCCCTCCGCCCCCCCTCCCCCTCTCTCTCCCTCTCTCTCTCTCTCTGACGTTCCTACCACTCTTCGCTTTGCTCCACCTGCTCCAGACCCACTGGCCTCCCTCTGTTCCTGGGACACATTGACGGTGTTGTTGCCCCGGAGCCTGTGTGCAGAGGCTCTCCCTTCTTGGAGGAACGTTCCTTCCTCAGATTTGCTCCCCACTTCCTTCCAGCCAGTCTCTGTTTCAGTGTCAGCACACCAGGGAGGCTTTCCTCGCCTGCACATAATGGCGACCCTGGCCCTTACCCACTGGACTCCTCATCCTCCTTTATTAGACTCCCCGTCTACCAGCATGTGTACCCCATGAAAGCGATTTTGCTTATTTTGTTCTTTGCTCTAGTAACACCACTTAAAACAGTCCTGGCACTCAGTAGTCACTCAACACATTCTTGGTGAATGAAGTGATAAATGAAATATGGTTTTTGTTATAAACGTGGAATATCTAGTTATTGGCTGTGTTTCTTTAAAATGATCTCATTTACATAGTTTTAGTTAATGCGTATTACAATGTTTACATTATAGTCTATAGTTAATGTCTATCTATAGTCTACTTTCCAAGCACGGCATTAAAAACCCTCGTGGATTTTTGTATTCTGTACTAAAAAAATACAAGCTGATGCCGAAGTTGGATTTGGGGCTCTCTGAGGCAGAGTGCCGCCTCCCTGGGCTGGCCTGGAGGAACGCATCCCTGGCTCGGCAGCTCTGGAGCCTGCCTCTCCCTCAGTGCTTCCCTGCTTCCTGGGGCAGGGCCTGGGAAGCTGCGCACAGCCCAGCCTTCTGATGCACAGGAAGCACTGGAGGGACGCTGAGGGTAATACAGGTGGGCCTGCCCTTGGAGCAATAGGTAGCTAATTTTGATTTGTAGGGCCCAGGCATTTTGGAACAATATTGAACCCCTTCATGAAAGTGAGAGAGGAATTAGCCTCCCTTCTCATTATCTCCCAAATAAAATTCCTCCATGAAGTAAAGGCCAAAGCCCCAAGATTTGGGCATACCATTTTTTTTCTGATATAAATGACCACTTACAATGCAGGCTATTTTCCCCTTTATTGTGAGACTGTTGAGATGTGCTAGCCGTGTGGGGCAATGTTCTCGATGCCCTTCTGTTTTCAATGTTCCCAGTACACTCTGTCGACCAAAAGGAGCGCAATCACAAAGTTTGAGAAGTGCATGGAGACGGAGGAGCAGCAGATCCTAAAAGCAGAGACAAAGCTCCAGGACGACGCGATCGCCTTTGAGGAGTTCCTGCGAGAGAACGACCAGCGATCTGTAGAAGCCCTTAAAGTGTTCGTTCTTTCCCCTCCAGCCACGTCGCTTTCCACCTCCTGCTTCCTTCTTTCTGGTTCCTCAGAACACCACACCACACCACACCACACCACACCACACAACACAAACTAACGAATCTCTGTTCCTCCTCAGTGCAGCCCAAGAGACTGTGAACAAGCTCCACATGACGGCGGAGCTGAAGAAAGCGAGCCTGGAGGTGCAGGCAGTGAAAAGGTGAGGCCAGGGCACCATCCTCGTCTCGCCGTGTGTCCACGCCCCACTCAGTCCTGTGTGTGCTCAGCAGGACCTCAGTGGGAAGAATCCTTACCTGCTGACGATTTCATAGGTATGACCGCATTTTTTAAATGAGTGCTCTGCTGACCAGGGACTGTCCCTGACTGGGCGTCAGGACGGCACAGTGATCCCGGGCTGAAAAGTTTCTCCAACTTGTCAATACAGAAACCAGGAAATGTAGTTGCAAAGAAGAAAACCAATGCTAGGAGTAAACAAATCATCTTCTAAGGGTCCTTTATTTTTCATTCTATAGCACATTTCTTCCCACATTTTAACATCTCTGCAGTGGGGATTCCTAAAAGGAATTTTAGGAATTTTAATTTTAAAAAAATTATCTTGCAACTATCTTGCTACTGCGTTTATAACTGGCAGTATTTTTTATATTTATCCTTATACTTAGATGAACCTAGCATTGATATTAAAAATGGGTCTATAATATTGAAAATAAAGGAGCAGGAGTTTGAAATAAAATTTGTGTACCATCTGCCACTTTCCCCCCCCAAACCTGGACGATTTCTTCTACAGTCAAATGTACCTCACCTGATCTCATTTTAAATATCTGAAGAAGCTTCCTTTTGTCATCATCCTTGGACAGCAATTTTATGATCCAGGAGACTCTAGCCTTGGTTTTAAAGCATGCTCAATATTGTTTTTTTCTTTTTGAGGACTTGATGTTTAGTTTTGCTCTAAAACCAAGCCCTAGACTTAGACTTAACACCCTTCCTTGACTTTTCTGGGGAGGAGGACAGGAGGTTGTCTAAAATGCAGCAAATGAACTGGAGGGCGGTTTCTTTGAAACCAACTGTTATGAACAAAATGTATGTTTCAAACACATTCTGGCTCCAGCAGCCTCTTCCATGGTAGGAGCCCGGCTGTAGGCACTCAGAGATGCAGAATTCCCTTCCCTCCTTTATGCCACAAAGTAATGAGAAGCTCCCATCTCCTTACAGAACTAGAGCAGCAGCCACTGAGTTTGAACCAAGGGCTGCATTCCTGCACAGTGGCCACCCAGGGCCCACCCTGGTCCTCCACCGCAGGGAGGGCTGGGAATCCATGCACAGAGGGAAAGGGGGCTGGTTCTGAAGCCTTTGCTTGGAAGCCGCACAATTCTAGCTGTTTTAACCCTGCTCGTAGTAGCACACCTTGGAGGCTTTCCATCTGAAAACGAAAGTGGTGGTACAATGAGGGCCTCCTGACATCTTGCGATTGGTGATCTGTGAGATTCTTTAGATATTTAAAACGTCCAGGTTTGACCCTCGAATATCACTCACACAGCAGGGCTTCGGGAAGGCTCTGACTGGAAGCAGTACTGACGGGGAGATACTGATATAGGAGAGATATTGATAAGGGTGCTGAAGAGTGAGCGTTTAAAGAAGGCTCTGAAGGAAGAGGGTGGAGCCTGCTTTCCTGAGGGCCTTCGTTGCTATTGTGAACAATCCCTTTGGGTCCACTTTGAAACACGGTTACGGGGAAGCCAGGTGAGGCTGGGGAAAGGCTTTCAGTCCAGGCCTCAGTGCTGTGCTGGCTCCCCCATCTGTCAGACAGGTGGCTTTGCAAGTCACACAGGTCTTCCTCCAAAAGATAGGAATGATGATGCCTATTTTTAATTTTTTAATTTAACATACATTTTTAAAGATGTTATTTATTTACTTATAGAGAGAGGGGAAGGGAGGGGAAAAGATAGGAAGAGAAATGTCAATCTGTTGCCTCTTGCAGGTCAACTGGGGACCCGGTCTGTAACCCAAGAATATGCCCTGACTGGGAACCAAACTAGCGACCTTTCGGTTTGCCAGCCGGCACTCAGCCCACTGAGCCACACCAGCCAGGGTGATAATGCATATTTTAAAGCGCTATACTGAAGATGAAACTACATCTGTAGTGTGTTCTGCATATTTCCCAGTACATAGTGGGTGCTGTTGAATGCTAAGTTTCTTTTCTTATCATACAAGTCCCGAGTACCTTCTAATTTCCCCCTGTGTCTCACCCTTAACACAACATTTCCCTCCGAAATAAATACGTAGAGTCAAACTATCCCCAGTCTGCCCTAGTTGCACATATCCAGGGGCATGTTTATTTCAACAGATTTCCTAGAGGTTATTTCTTTTCATCTCATATCTTACTGCTGCCTATATCTTTATGGCCACACTTGGGATTTTTGTTAAGTACATACCTAATCAAAAGAATGAATTTTGTAAAACTTTTTTGTAAAAAAAGGACATGCTTTCACACAGATGTGTCTAATCGTATCTTCGTTTCCTTTGTGTAGTGAAATATCAAAAGCAGAATTCCTTCTCAAAGAGTACATGAAATATGGACTTTTTCTGCTGAAATTGTCTCCGAAACAATGGCAGATCCAGCAAGCGCTGAAAAGGGTGCAGGTGTCAAAGAGTAAAGAAAATTCGGAGGGCACTCTCCCCAAAATATTAACAAGTGAGTCACGTCCTTAATGTCAGTAAGTATCCCTGGGTCTAAAATGTCCAACTTCTATGTTCGTTTGCTACTTATTAAGTAGTTAAGATTTCAAGCACAACCTGAACAAGAATTCTTACTGTCTCTGATATTATATATTATTAATTTGGAAACTCAGGTTAATGACAGATATAAAGCAATACAAATATATACATGGAGGCATAGAAATTATATTATTTACAGATGATCTGATAGCATACCTAGAACCTCCCACACATAAAAACCTGAAAAAGAATTTGAGCAAATGAACACAAAGCCAATCATATTTATTAGCCGAACGTATTAACCTAAACAAACTAACTTTATTAATTAAGAGACATACTAGGAAATTAAATCCAAGAAAACAACAATAAACTTAATTGTGTGACCTGAAGATTTGACAGAGAGATATGTCATGTTTTTAGACAGAAAGATTGAATTGCAAAGCTACCAATTTTTCTGACAATTGATGTATAAGTTTTATGGAATTATAACAAAACTGAGACCACAAATTTGTCAGGGACTTGGGTGTTGGGTTGGGGAGAACTGTACTCAATGATTCTGAGGTTCACCCAGAAAGCTAAGTCCTTTGGAAGGAAGGAGGTAATGGAGGGGGAGCTGTTACTGACCCTGTCACCGAACCGAGGTTCGACTGCCGGCCGCAGCAAAAGCCACACTCGTGACACGGGTGCTGGTGAGAAGGAGAGAGGCTTATTCAGGTGCTGATCACGTGGGAGGATGGAGGGCCCTTGTCCCAAAGCCCAGCTGAACACCTCAGTGCGGGCAGAGGTTTTTATGAGGCGGGAGAGGGACGTGGAACAGGGAGATCCGGGGGCCAGGGGCTGTGGTTGTGCAGGCAGTGCCCTTGCTGGTCCGAACGTGGATTTTTCGTGGGTTTTCAGTGCCCTTGAGCTGGTTGTCGGGTTTTTTCCCAGCTGCATTCCTGGGTCTGAGCCGTCGGTGGTGGGCGGGGGCCTCGGGGTGAGGCTGCTCCTCTGGTTCACACAGGAACTGAAGCTGCTGAGCTGTGAAGCACACTAAAAAAAAACCCCTTTTAACGTGCAAGTTCTAGTTTTGAGAGAAAAATCAGGTTAGAGTAACAAGTTGGGTTTAACATTTACTAAGATTCATATAGGTAGCTTTACATAAGTACAGTGTATTCATTCCCTGTTACAACCCTTTAGGATATACAACATATCACAGAGTCTCAGAAATTAAAAGAGTATGGTAGTGGTGTTTGGAAGTCAGCTCAATGAAGGCAAATAGATCCTATTATATATAAGAATTTAATAAACGATCAAAGTGGGGTCATCAGGGAAGACTTCCACTTCTAGTAACTTTGGGATAACGAGAACCCGTCACCTCCCTGCCTAAAAAGTATGAAAAACATACGAAGCAACAGGTTTCAGACACTGGACATCAGGAGTGATGCACGGTAATCCCTGAGAGAGAGGAAACAAATGAGATGAGCCCTACCATGGCGTCTGGGTGCTGCCTGGGGAGTTTCCGGGGTGCAGCTGAGGAAGGGGGAGCCCAGGTGGGCCCAGCAGTCCCCACGCATTGAAGAGACAGAGCGGACCCAGGGCAGGCACAGTGGCTGGAGCGCCCGGAGCAGAGCACTGGAGAGGAGAGAGCTACTCAGAGAGCTCCGAAGACCTGCAAATGCTTCAGCTGAGAGCTGATTCTGAGACTCTGGGGTAAGAACATTCACATCCCAGAAATCAGTCAATTACAAACCAGGGAGAATTTTCTGCCAGAGAGCTGGCCGTTAAACATGTACTGGCACACCGTGGACGGCGGCCCTGCCCAGCTCCCCTGCGCTTTCACTGCCGAGTGGGATTAACTTGGATCAGTGTGTATGAAATATTGAGGGAGCACAGCGATGATGCCTGACAAAAGAAAAGACAAGTGGAAAGGAAAAGTGAGAGGTGTTTGCACCTAACAGCTTAAGATTCAGTGCTCCCAGCCTTGCCTTCTAACTGGAAGACACTCAGAAAGCAATGGGCTGCTCAGTCCAGAGCAAGGAATGGCTTGCACCGGGGTTTTAGAGGTTAGGACAGACTGATGTGGGAAACAGAGACTTCCTCGTGCCCTGCGGGTTAGCCCTCGCCCATTCTGCCTGCTCCAGAGACCAGCCCTTGCCTTCTGCCTCATACATTTGCTGGTTGTGATGTCCCCACCGTATATTCCTGTCCCTGGAAGCTTTTACCATCACTCTGTCTTCCCTCAGACAAAGCTATCCTCAGAAATGTTTCTCCCCTCCCTTTATTTTCTCTTTCTAGAATTAAATGCAAGGAAGGGAGAGAGCAGTGCAGAGGACGTCACAAAGATATCGTTTTCAGATTACTATTCTCCGGGCACAGGTAGCCAAGGTAACACGAGAGATTTGGAACTTCACTCACAAAAGTAAGACCCGAGCAGGTGCCCTTCTCAAAGGAGAGATCCAGGACCTGTAAGCTAACAGGGGCAAGGGGGTGGCGTGAGTAAGGCCTGCTGTGGTTCCAACACGGAGTAGCAGAAAGAGTAGTTGGATGTCGTGACAGCGCAGGTGTGAGGAAAGACGACCTGGGGGCACCTGGGGGTGAAATGCCCGAGGCCAGTTTTGCCCACGGCTCAGTGTCAGATCAGGAGGAGGCACAGACACAGGCGTGCAGAGACCAGGCGCATGGAGGGGTAGGGAGGAGAGCGTGGCCGACTTGTATGTGGCAAAGGTAGGTTTCCCCACAGGATGCACTGACTGAAGTGTTCACCACCTTTGTCCGCTCAATTAAAAAAAAAGTCTGTGACTAGGAATATATATGATTAGGTAAGAATAGCACCATGACTTCTATTTCACAACTGATGTCCCTGATTTTGTGACTTGTATCGTTTTTGACACATGCCCCTCCCAACATCAGGGTGCCTTTGATTTTATTCTTACGCTTGTAATCCAGTTTCGCTAGACTAAAAGAGCTCCATTTTCTGCAAATATAATTCTGATACTTTTTTAAAGTAATGGGCATATCTACGCAGAACAATGACTATCTTGCACCAAATAACAAGGATTAATTTCTAATTATATGTTATTTCTTTTCACCTCCACCGTTGCTGACGACACGGACTTTGCCTGGACCTTTCAAACAGGAAAACCACACAAGGAGTCCACTCGCGCCGTGGAGAAAAGCAAGACATCCTTAGCAAAGTAGAGTGCATGCTTGATGAGCCCTCTTGGAAACAATGCCTTTCAGCAAATATCTCTTTTAGCCTTTCTTCAGCACATGTACCAGGCCACCACGCCCCCTGTAGGACACTGGAGGTAGTAGTTGCCATTTCTGCGTGCTCCTGAGCTGACGGAGCTCTTAACAGGCCTCCCTGCCTTCTCTGAGAAGTGTCTGCCACTGGTATCTGCAGAAACTTCCCGCCCCTGTGTCTTGGGTCTTCGGCTCTCAGAATCTACTGCTCACTTGTTCATTACGTTACCCTGCTGGTCTGAGTGTTTGCAATTCACCACGTCATTCAAAATTGCTGCAGGAGGACCATAAACGTTTTTGCTTCTTTCAACCCTGCCTAACCCAGGGAGCTTTAAGAAAATATATTGATGCCCAGGTCAGGCACACAGGTCCCAAGGAAAGGCTCTGGGCCAGCACCACGGGATCCACAACAGTCACACATGACACATGTCCACACAGACACTGCTCTGAATTCCAGGGGCACTGTGGCAGTTAGCCGTCACTGGTTTGGTTTTGTTTTTAATTAAATGCTTACTTTGAGGTAATTGTAGAGTCACATGTACTTGTAAAAAATAATACAGAGAGATCCCATGCACCGTTTACCCAGATTCGCCCACAGGTAACACCCTGCAAGACTGTCCTACAATACCACAGCCAGGACACTGGCATTCACACAGTCGAGAGACGGTCCCATGCAGAGTGTGCCCCCAGGATTCTCAGGTCGCCCCTTTCCAGTCTCATCCCTGACCTGTTCGCCACCCTTCGCCCCTGGAGACCACTGAGCTGTTTTCCATTTCTGATTTTTATCATTTCAAGAATGCAACATAAATGGAATTGCACAGTATGTATGCAACCTTTTAGGACTGGGTGTTTTACTGCTCATAATTCCCTGAGCATCAGTCCAAGATGTTGGGTCAACCAGCAGTTGGTCCCTTTTCACCACTGAGTAGTGTTCTACAGCATGGACACACTGCAGTTCAGCCATCCATTCACTGAAACACATCTGGATTGTTTCTTGTTTAGGGCTACAACGAATAAAATTGCTGTAACTGTATTTATACAACTTTTTGTATAACATAGTTTTCATTTCCCTGGGGTTAAATACCCAGAATGCAGCTGCTGAGTTGGGTGGTGAATGCAAGTTTAGTTTTTAAAGAAATTGCCAAATTGTTTCCCAGAGTGGCTATGCCACTTTACATTCCCACCAGCAATGTATGAGGGACCCATTTCTTTCCTTCTTCACCAACATTTGGTATTTCACTACTTTTTTATTTTAGCTATTTTGATAGACGCGTGTATCTTACTGTGCCTTTAATTTGCATTTCCACAGTAACTAGTGGTGTTGCACACCTTGTCATGTGCTTGCTCACATCTTTAGATCCTCTTAGGTGAACTGTCTATTCCTGTCTTTTGCTTATTTTCCAACTGGATGGGTTAACTGTTGGAATTTGAGAATTCTTTATATATTTAGATACTAGTACTTTGTGACTTGGTGGTTTGCAAATATTTCCTCTCAGCCTGTAGACTGTCCTTTCATCCTCCTAAGAGGGTCTTTTATTTGGATGAAGTCCAACTTACCAGTTTTTCTTTTACAAATCATGCTTTATATGTCAAGCCTAAAACCCTTTGCCCAGCCCTCGATCCCAAAGATGTTTTTCAAGTTTTCTTCTAAAAAGTTTTATATCTGCCTTAAGTCTGTGATGCATTTGGGTGTTTTTTTTGTGTGTGTGTGTGTAACAGGGATGAGGTTTACATTAAGATGGGGTTTTTTAGTTGTCTGTGGATGTCAGTTGCCCCATCACCTTTGTTGAAATGGCTTTTTCACCCAAATCGCTTTGGCGTCTGTGTCAAAAACTAGCTGGGCGTACTCATTCGGGCCTACTTCTGTCTTCTCTGTTCTGTTCCATTGACCTCTGCTGACACCACATGGTCCTGACTACCATGGCTATGCCCTTGACATCAGGTAGACTGATTCTTCTTATGTTATCCCCTTTTTCAAAATTACATGAACTATTCTGGTTCCTTTGTCTTTCCGTATACATTCTAGAATAATCTTGCCTATATCTACCAAAAAAAAAATCTTGCTGGTATTGTGATAGGGATTATGTTAAATCTCGTTAGAGGTTGAATTATGTCTCCTAAAAAGATACGTTCAAGTCTTAACCAATGTTATCTATGAATGTGACCTGATTTGGAAATACCAAGTTCCGACTTCTCTATGTTCCCATCATTTTCGATGTGTCCTTCTTAAAGAATTTTTCCAGAGCCCCTTTGCAAGTCACATAATTGTTCGAGCATGTATCTTATCACCCATCCCCTGGCCAACATTCGGAAGATTTTTTTTTTTAATTAAAATGTGTTCTTAGAAAAAAACCCAAATATTTTATTACTCAGGGTACAAGCTTTATTTTGAGCACTAGGGCACATGTAGTTTTTCAAGAAGACTGCATTAAAATGGACAGAATGGATGTGGCAATTTGGGTTGTCATGTGTTTTTTTAAAACAAATTACCTTTCTCTGTTGATGCACCTCAAACAACCAGTACTGTATGGTAGGTACAGCCCTTTCTCGGAGTTTCCTGTTTGCACGTCACCCCTGTCTGGGTGAGTCTGATTTTCTCCTGCACACTCATGGAATCCACTGATTTCTGAAATAAGAAGGTCCTTAAAAGGCTAAATAAGCTATTGAAAAAAACTATGTTGTAGTTCGTTTCCAAAGAAAATTTAGAAGTGGAAGCAAATCTGGGGACAGAAAATGGCTCAGAAATCAGGCATTTTCTTTTCCTTTTACAGCCGATCTGCAAGCGTAAGTTCCGAAGACAGTTTAGATGATGAACTGGACTACGAGCTGGTAACCATGTCATGTTTCTTGATTTAAATACACATTTTTTCTTTTGAAATTAAAATTTCCTACTCCAAACATTCCACAACTTTCCGGGAGAAAACACAATTTTGATACTATTCCCCAGTTGTGTATGTAGTTCAACGTTGTCATCAGATATGTTACGAAAAATAAGTGTCTATAAACAAGTAATAATTTAGGGGATATATGTGACAGTCTTCCTGTAAAAAGCAGCCACCTCCTGACCTGACTGCCCATCATTTTACTGAGATACAGATCCACTGAGCAGCTGAACTGTAAGATAAATTGACCTTCGATCAAACAGCCCTTCACAGCTACAGGAGAGACTGTGAGCTGACCCCGCCCTAAATACAACTGTAGAAACTCAAAAGAACTAAAAATAAATAAATAAATAAATAAATACCCTTAAAAACACCATCCATTATTATATAAAATATATATACAAAATATACCTTACCTGTCCTTTTAAATTATGGTAAAAAAAGATAACATCAAATTTACCATCTTGACCGTGTTTGTGTGCGGCGCGGCAGCCGGCTGCTGCACACGGTGGGCGACAGGCCTCTGCGCCTCCTCACCCCGTAAGGCTGAGACTCCACACTCGCTGGGCAGCTCCCCGAGCCAGTCCCCTCTACACCCCAGCCACCACGGCTCTGTTCTCTGAGGGTCTGATGACTTTACATACCTCATAAAAGTAGAATCATGCACTATTAGTCTTTTTGTGACTGGTTTCACTTAGCATGTCTTCCAGCTTCATCCATGTTGTAAGATTTCCTTCTTTTTAAGGTTAATAGTCCATTGTATGAATATACCACATTTCTTTTTTTTCCATTTTTTTATTGTTGTTTGGTTACAGTTGTCCTCATTTTCCCCCCATTACTCTCCCCTGCCCTCCCCTCCCCCCACATTCAATCCTCTCCCCGCCCCCGTTGTCTTTGCCCATGAGTTCTTTACACACGTTCGTTGACTCTTCCCCTTCTTCCCGCCCCCTGACCCCCAGCCAAGTTTCTTTATCCGTTCATCCAGATAGACACTGAGGTGTTTCCACCCCTTGGCTATAGGAAATATGATTTTTTTAAAAGATTTTATTTATTTATTTTCAGAGAGGGAAGGGAGGGAGAAAGAGAGAGAGAGAAACATCAATGTGCGGTTGCTGGGGGTTATGGCCTGCAACCCAGGCATGTACCCTGGCTGGGAATCGAACCTGCGACACTTTGGTTCCCAACCCTTGCAGGAAATATGATTAATATGGGTGTATAAATACCCATCTTTTTCAAAAATTAAATTTACTTAAAATAATACACCCTTATTCCCCCAAATTTTGGAAAATATAAAATAATTAAATATGGGAAAAAGATGACCTTTACTTCACCCCATCTTTATGTTTCTTCTCTTTCTTCTCCCTTGCCTCTTCTGGCCATCCTTGCTTCTTTTCTCTTTTCCTCACCCTCTTCTTTTCGCCCAAAACCTTTCACCTCCCCACAACACCTCAAATATCCTCTTCCTGAGGGCCAGCTGTCACGTGGACATAGGCTCCTTTGCCATTCTCTGCCCATCTCTCCCTCATAAACAGAATCACATTCCAGAACATATTTTTCTCGGTAAGTCACATGTCTATAGACAGCATATTTCTAAATAAATTACATTCTTCATTATTGATTGACTAGGAGCCAGAGCTTTATTTCAAAGAACCAGAAGAGTTGCTTCAAGTCCTCACAGAGCTGGAAGAGCAGAATCTTACTCTGGTACAATATTCTCAAGATGTAGATGAAAATCTTGAAGATGTGAATAAAAGAGAGAAACTTATACAGGATAAAATGTAAGTCATTGAAAACAAGGTTTATTCTATTAAGCAATTTCTAACCAGAGACAAAAATCCAATGTATCCATGTGTGGTCCCTTCTTGTGGTCTCTGTTTAGGGTGAAAATTTTATTAATAGTTTACATTGTGGAGTGTGCAGAGTTGAAGTTGTATTTACACAGAATAGACTGGCTTTAGTTTTAGTCCCTACTTCCCTTCACTTGTCAAAATATTTTCCTAGCTAACTATAATAAAAGATAAAAAAGAACCGCCGTGTCCCCTACTGCCTTAATTTTTGTTCACTACAGTTTTTACCCAGTCTTCTGGCTAATCAAATCATGTTTTCAAAGATGCTAGAACAAATGCGTTTTCCTCAGTGTTGACTCTCCTCAGCAAAACCGCTTAAATGGTGTTACCATTTTGTAACACACATGTCAGCATGTTAGGGCTACGATAGGAAGGGATTTCTGTCAGGGGAAGGACGCGGGGTTCGAGGACTCACAAAATCCCTGTTGTACAATTTTGTATTATTACAATTTTGGTAAACAGCTTCAAGTTACAGAGAACAGATCTTTATATATAATACCCACCATAAAAATGTATAGAACCTTTTTCCGAACAGTTGCTGGGCCAGAAGACGGCGATCTTTTTAAACAGTATGTCAAACTGCATTGAACTTCAGAACAAACTAACTTATTTAGAAGTTAGAAACCTAAAAATCATCTCATGGCCCCGTTACCACTAATGTATCCCTTTAATCCACGTCCCCCCTCCCAATCCTCACAGCTATGGCCCCCCTACCCCTGACGATATGATGTTGGATGACAGGGTGGGTATGGCTGGGCAGGAAAAGGGGGCCCATGTCAGAATCCATCTCTAGATCTATATCCGAATCTCTAGGGGAGGGAGCCAGGAGCCTGTGTTTAGCCCTGGCTCCACAGATGTTTGAGAACACAAGACATACTGGATCTCACACCCTGAGCTCCCAGCACCTCAGCTTTGTCGCCCTCCATGAGGGGGAATCGAGGACCTCAACATGACAATAGTAGAGAGGAAGAAACTGCTTCCTCACGGCCATTAAGAACAGACTGCATTTTTCTCATTCTAACCTGCGAAGTTGCATGTACCTTGGCTGTGTCTTAAACTCGGGTTTGGCTTGCTCGTTACAGGATGCTAACCCACGATCTGGAAGGAGTGTTGAAGCTCCTGGCTGATGGTTTATTTCACCAAACCACACATTACAGACAAGCGTTTCTTTCTTCTTTTGCCACAGAAATAGCAACATAGAGTTTCTTTTAGAGCACAAGGAAATGCTTAAGGCTAACTGTCTGAGAGAAGAGGAAAAAGCAGCAGAACTGGAATTAAGGTCCAGGCTTTTTAGTTTTGGAGAATTTAATTCAGAAGCCCAGGTAAGCCTTCTTTGCCTATGGTCATTTTTACTCCAGCAGTGATAACAATCTGCACTCCCTGCGTACCAAGTGTTGGGATGGGAGGATGAAAGGAAACCAGAAGCCCCAGTTTGATGACAAAGGCAGAAAACCAGCTTAGAATGATCTTGTCTGTACATAAGTCAACTTACATAGTAGACAGAAAGCATTCAAATGGGCATCGAGGTTCTCTTAAAATGTTACTCTAATTATTACAAAGTATGATGTTGAAATTTTCCCTCTATAAATACATTTTCTTCTAGTGACAGTGTATACATATTGAAGTAGCTCACTGCCTGTGATCATTTGGGTAGTAATTAAGGAGCAAATAATTAAGAGAGGAGACACTGAATCAACACTGAATGGAATATCTGACCAACAATGAGCTTGTAATAGACCTTGGCCTCCTTGGTCCTGCATGGATGAGTCATTATCGGAGCACCTGTGACACACACTAATGCACTCATTTATTTACATGTCAGTCTCTCCCAGCTGGTTGCAAACAAACCCCTTGAGGGCAGGGATTTCTTACCCTTCTTAGCTAAGTTTAGGGTCCCTAAACTAGGTGCTCAATAAATGTTTGTTGAATGAATGATTAGGTTTCTAGACCCACAACTCCAGCAAACATTGGATTGCTTGTAAAAATCTCAAATAAAATGAAAATTCATGCTAATATGTGAGGTTAACATCACATTTATGGTTATGAACTCGATCTTCAAGCAGTAGACTTGGGGGAACTGGATTATCAGATGACTGCGCTTCCCTATCCATAGGTAAGCAGGGCTACAAGAAGCTCCCCTCCCCACACACACGTTTCCTGGGGTGGTACGGCCTTGAGTTAGGAGGGGATGGGTTGTGCACTGCTAGAGCAAGAAGTGTGATGACAGCTGTCTTTCCATTCTTCAATGCTGTTTTTTTTAAACCATTGTTTTAATTGTGGTAAAATACGCATAACATAAAATTTACCATTTAATCATTTTAAGTGTACAATTCAGTGGCATTAAGTATATTCACAATATTGTGTAACTATCACCACTATCTACTTACAGAATTTTTCATCATTCCCAAATAGAAACTCCGTACCCACAAAACAATATTTCCCCATCCCCCTTTTCAGCCTGATCTCTATTGTGCTTTCTTTCCCTCTAAACTTGCCTATCTTAGGTACTGTATATAAGATAAATCATATAATAGTTGTCCTTTTGTGTCTGGCTTATTTCACTTAGCATGTTTTCAAGGCTCATCCATGTTGTAACATGTACCAGAATTCCTTTTATAGCTGAAAAATACTCTACTGTATTTATTTACCACATTTATCCATTCATCTGTTGATGGACACCTGGGCTGTTTCCACCCTTCAATTCTGTTTAATTCTGAAATTGCTTGATGTGGAAAATTAAGATAATGTGGTATCTCCCCCTTCCTCACACCAAGCCCCTTTCACCCAGGTTTAGGGTAGCTGTTTTAAAAAGTAGCATTTTCAATACTGTTAAACTTGGAGGCAACCGGAACCAAGAAGGTGCAGTTTATCTGAAAATTACTTCTAAAAGACTATCCATGAGATTTTGGTTGCAGGTGTAGTTCTGGCACCCAAGTATTACACTCTCCTAGAGATGTAAAGTACAGGGTGGGAAGGGGAGGGGAGCAGAAAAATTGGCAGGGGAAAAACATTCTTTTCTTAGAATGTTCTTGCTTGCCTACTCCCATTCTTTTAGGCCTCAACACGTGCAAAACATAATCCTTTGTGAGTAAATAAACGTAGTTGCACCTAATTTTGATACTCACAAAATTATCAGTTACTTTGGAGCTATGATAACTATAAATTTGCTTCTTCCAAAACGTCCGCACTCCTAATTATACCTAATCCTCTAAAACATTTTTCATTGATTTAATGTTACTTTTATGATAAAATTTTAAATTCAGGTATAATGTAGTACTGAAAAGTGCACAAATCATCAATGTACCTCTCAAAGGATTTCCTCGGGGAAGAGACCATTACTAGCATCCTCTCCTGCAGGTGACCACTATCCTCACCTTTCCCACAATCCATTCGATTTTATGCTTTTGAACTTTATATAAATGGAACTGTGTAATATGTCTGTTTCACCTGGCTCCTTCCTCCCAACGCTGTCTGAGATTCATCCATGCTTGTGTAGCGGCTGTTTGTTCCTTTTCATTGGACATGAAATGGAATGTAAGCTATTCGAGTGCTCAGTTTGCAGCATGTGTTCTTCTTTGGTTTAATTTTCCTTCCAACAGGGAGCTGATCCAGTTCAGTTGGGGGAAGTGTTTATATTAAACACACAGTATAGCATGTGACATGGATTAGAATAGAGAATCCTTGAGCTGGAACTTTAAATGACATCTAGACATCTCCCCATTCCTATCCAATTTTGGTAACAGTTATTCCTTGTAAACATGGCTCTGGTCAGATCACTTCCCATTCTGTTGGAAGGCATCTGAAGTTCTTATCCGGGTATTTATTTAGTCTTCCAAAACCCTGCCCCACTGAACCACACGAAACAGGTACTAACTCCCACCCCTCACAGCCACTCCTCCGAGGAGCTCCAGGCCGGGCCTGCCCTCTGGTGGCAGACCTAGGGACTGGACTGACACTTGGCCTCCGTCATCAGTAGGCCTGTATTGCATCCCTTTTCTTTGCCCTTCTAGGTCGATCCAGGCCCTCCATCTCATTTTCTTGGTATTTTCTTTAACCTCATTCCCTAATCCTATTTCTCATGCTGTTTGTACCTTAAGAAAACACTTCTCTTTTTCTTTTCCTCTCTTGCTTGACAGGAGAAACTTAAAGATACTGCACATCCATCTCTAATTCCAGGTCTCCTTCAGAAATTTCCATCAATGAATCATTCCCATATTAAAGTTGTTTTTTTCTCAGAACCAGACTTCAATGTATTTTTTAAAAAATGACTCACATTACAGCAATATTGTTTTCTCATGTCCTAAGTACATTTCAGCCCCTTGATGGCTTACTTTTTTTTCTTTTATATTTTTCTGTACTTCTAAAGATTTCTATAGGAATGTGTGGTTAATATAAATGGGAAATATAATAAATGTTATTTAGACACAGTGAGGAAAAAAGGAGCTTTATGGCAAGTAAGACTTGCTTTTTTTTTAAACTTTTATATTATTTTGTACTTCTCCAAGTTTCTTAAAAAGCCTATTTTTAATATAATTAGAACATACAGTAAGTGTTACTGTAGAGAGCAAAGGGGTGAACAGGACCATCAAAAAGGTGGTTAACGTAGGAGGTGGGAGACGAGCTGCTGGAGTAAACTCTAGGTAACATCTTGTAATGGTTGGTGGCTCTGTAAGGAGTCCCAGGACTCCAGGAGTCACATCTGTCTTGAGTGTTATTTGTCCTTGGCTTCATGGTGATTCTCATCTTCTTGAGCAGAAGAATGCAATGGGGCTGAAATCTTCCTGGAAAGCGATTAAATTGGCCCAGGACTTTATTGAGATCCTCTTAACTACGAATGCCGGGTACAGACTGAAGAAAAACGATGCCAGTTATATTTTGGTCCCGAAAAACGTTGTCTTCAAGCTCCAGAATCTCTACCAACAGTTAAAATGCAGCAGTAGCCAGGTACAGGGATCTGCAGGTTTGGCCTAGGCCTCTGTTTAACAGACTAGAACACTGCAATGGGTTCCCAATGGACCGAGTGAAACTTAAACTTCTCTGAAGGCTTTTATAGGTCAGCCTGGGAATCTGTTTGCTTGTAACTTTTCTTTAATTCTGAAAGAATGCATTCATTTATTCAGCAAACATTTATTAAGTGTATAGTTATGAGCAAGGCGCTGTTTTAGATATAAATGCCAACCTAAGAAATAGCTCCTGCCCTTTAGGTGCTGACAGTCTAGAAAGGAAGATAAGGCATGCATGCAAAAACTACCATACAGGATGATTATACAGTTTTAGCAATTAGACTAGTAAGAGCAAAAAATAAAAATAAAAAGGAGCTCACAGCTGTGCTGCAAGGGTATACTGGAGTGACAAAATAGGGTTTAAAATGTGTATGTTGCCTTTACTTGAATGCTTAGGGAATCAGATACACAAAAACATTCAGGCAAAAAGATTACAATTATAATTACTTTTTAGACCTAGATTGAACTGTTTTTAAAGAAAATAATCCAAGTTGTTACTATAGCAATGATCTGACTACAAACTGTTATAAATATCATTGCTGCATTTTCTCACTCTTCTGTGTACCATTAAAGTTCTTCTTTGTTTATGGTGGCATATATCAAAAACCCTTTGCATTATAATACAATAAAACAGAATTTTACATTTATTAAACAAGCAAATAGTGATGAGAGGTTGTTTCCTGTTCTCCTTTTCTTCTCGCTCTCAGGAAAAACTGATAGACTCTCTTAGTAAAAAAATTAATCAAGTGTACAATGTCTGCATCGGAGATGGTGAGGTTGGCAGCCTCAACCCAGTCCAAAAGCTAGTAAAGATAGAGTCTCGCCTGGTGGAACTGAGTGACCTCATTGAAACCATTCCCAAAGAGAATGTGGAAGCAATTGAGAGGATAAAACAGAAAGAACGACGGCAAAAGTACAATATCTTATATAAGTGCAGTGAATTACTTAATGAGTAGCTGTTTTTTTCTTGAATTCCACATTTAGCAAGCTCTCTCTTGCATGGCAAGGATGACCACACAGACACAGTGGGAGGAACCAAAGCCAGCCCTGCCCTCCTCAGAGAGCCATTATTGAGTGGACAGACATTCATCACACACTCTTACAAAATAAACGTGCCATTACCAATGTGAACACTGTGAAGAAAGGGAACCAGGTGACCAGAAAGTTCACCAGCTAACCTAGTTTGGGATGGGCAAGGGGTCCTTTCAGCCTGGAAAAGTGAGTTTTCGGGGTGAACATTTACTATTTATATGAACATTTTTGAAGAGCTATCATGTGGAAGAATGGCACTTGTGATGAAAAATTCCAAGGCCCGTAGATTAGAAGCCCTTCATTGCAGAACTGCAGGGAGACTCAATCTACGAAAGAAGTGTTTGAAGAGCCATGCAACGAGGGTTCTTCTCTGTGCGTAACTGCCAGCACTTCCACACGTCACATTTACACATCAATCCCTCAGTTCCTCAAGACAGTCTCATGAGGATTACGGTCCTGAAACATGCCCCACCCCCACAAACCCACATCCTTGCCTCGCTTGGGACCTTTCAGAAGAATGCACCAACCTACAAATAATCTCCACGCCAAGCTATATACTACCTTTGAGGCAATGAATATTATAAATACATGGTATCCCTAGTATAATATGGCACGTAGAGAATGCTAATAGGTGGGATAATGCTCATACTACAGCAATGTCGGGAGGCAGACTAGTACTATGGCTAGGAGTATGTGTGTGAGAGCTAACCTACCTGAGTTCAATCCAGGTTCCACCTTGACAATTTTTGTGACGTTAGACAAGCCAAATAATCTCTTATATTTCAGTTTATCTGTAAAATGGCAGTAATAATGGCAATAATGACCTGTAGTGCTGTTGTGAGGATTAAATTAAATGATCTACCTAGAAGCAATAAAGCATATTTGGCACATAGTAAGTACTCAAATATTAGCCACTAATATCAGATATGTTGTTATTGCTTACTGTATTACTGGTGTAGGGGGGGATATTGATTCCCCCATATAAAAATGAAGTCCAGAATATCTTAAGGTGATCCTGATGGAATTATATCAAATACAAAGCAAATTTTTAAAAATTATAAATGCAAGATGACTCCTTCCACAACATGACCTGTGATTAATTACACTAATAACAGATACTTTTTTGCAGTAGGAAATAAATTGTCATCCAAGGGTAATTACAACTTGTTTTCAGTAGTGACACATGAATCTAATTCCAATTGTTTACTGTTCTTATCAAGAGAATTTCAGTTGATGTTTCCCATGGTTTGGAGGCATCTAACATAATACCAATCTTGCATTAAAAATATTTGATAAATGTAACACTTAAAATTAAAGGCCCATAACATAGCTATCACCTAGTGGATGCCTGTTCCACACTGGGCACTGGAGCACAGACGGCCAAGGTCGTCTCATTTAATCCCACCCTCACAACAGCCCTAAAGGAAACAAGACAAACGGCACTGGTCGGTCTTAACTTGAGAGTCCCATCTGAAAAGATTCATGGGAAAATGTACTTTCGCGGTAACTTTTTGAACTATACACGTGATCTCTTCTGCATATGTCAGTAATAAAGGTTTACGGGGGCGGGGATAATGGGAAGTTAATTCAAGGGGCTGACAGACAGAGTAAGGTGAAGTGCTGACATGTGAGTGACGAGGAGGCTTTGCCGAGGTGCTGGTTTAGACCAAGACAGGGGAGTTTTACTTCTTCCACAAGGAGACGTGCAGTTTCTCCCCATTTCAACACAGTCGGGATGAGCTGCTGAGCTTTCGCCTGAACAGTCAAAAGCCAGACCTATGTGTGAAGATGAATTATTAATTTCATTTAACCTTAATGGAGACCTTATAATATTTTGGTAGTTCATTATCAACTATTAATAATGTTTAGGTCTTTTTTAACTTTGTGATTTATAGTTAGGAGAACATTTTCCCTCTCCACAGGCTGCGTGAAGAGAAAATGAAAGAAAAACAGAGACACCAGGAAGAAAGGCTACGAGCTGCTCTGGAAAGAGCAGTGGCGCAACCGAAGAAAAAGGTTTGTGCTTGTTATCAGCAGGTCCAGCTGCGTGTGAGCGCTTCTGTGGTATAAAAACCAATGATCTAATTCGTCTAATTTATCCAGGTTCAACTTCAGTGAAATCTTTCTGGCTCACAGCTTCAATTGGTCTCTCTCTGGTTCCTTGCTATCTTTAGAATAATTCAAATTATTGGCTAACACTTCTCCATTAGGCCTCCTTTTCAGTAAAAGAAACTTGTCCCCTCCTCTTTTTCTTTCACTCCAGGCTCACAAAATCAGAGAATTTTAAAGAATAATTTTTTGAATAGGTAGTACAAGCACATGTTTCAAAGTTCAAAAGATATGAAAGAGTCTTCAGTGAAGACTCTTAGTTCCCCTCCCTGGAGGCAACAGCTGCTAACAGTTTCATCTGAGTCCCCCTAGAAACATCCCATGTATTTGTACTTCCTCTTCTTACAAATGAGAGCTAGGAACCTTGCTTCTCTCACTTGACAATGGAGACAGTGAACCCAGAGAAAAATCACAAGGCTAATAGTTTAAGTTACGATGGTATACGCAGTGTCACTTCAGATTTAGAAGATGAATCGGGACCAGAAGCCAAGGTTCTTTATATTGCAGGATTACCTGTAAGAAGTTTGGAATCGGGCAGTCACTGTGCGCTTGTGGCCCAATCCACGCCTCTGCGCCGGGGGAGGGCCTTGTGTCTCCAGGACACTCTCCCTCCTCTAGGTTAGGGTCTGAAATATACTCCGGGAACCCAATTTCATGGTTTTCTACAAAGCTAGTGTGGACATTGGTTCTCATCATAGTCATAGCTAACCCGCAGTGAATGCTTATTGTGTACCTCACTGCCAGCCTGTTGAGGTACTTGAAAAAAGTTCCAAAGTATGGCAATTATGTCAAGAAGTAATGACTACCTTAAATTCTTTCGTGTAAATAAGCATCTCATCTGAAAAAGTGCCTGCACCTCTCTAGCTCAACTCTCCCCATGAACACCTGACTTGCCCTCTTCTTCCCAAGGGAGAGGAACCATCCACCACAGTCCACATGCACATACTCGTCGCTAAACCCACAACGTTGAAACAATTATTCTTAAACATCTCTCTCCTTCTGGACCATGAATGAGTTTTAGGACCTTTGTATCTCCAATGCCTGGCGCACAGTGGACACTCAACAAATGCTCATTGAATTAACAGACTAAAAATGACAATGGAAACTAAAACTCAAAATAAAATGGTGGTCTGATAAGTTGACAATGTATGAAAACCTGTGATAGTTCTTACCCAGCTGGGACACTTCATCACTGTAAATTTTCTTAGTTTTTTAATTTTTTATTGAATGTATTGGGGTGACACTGGTTAATAAAATTACATATAGGTTTCAGGTGCCCAGTTCCACAACACGTCACCTGTACACTGTCTTGTGTGTTCCACACCCCAAGTCGTCTCCTTCCATCAACACTTCAGACAGTGTTAATAACGACAGTTATCACACATCACTGACAGTGAACATAAACTCTGACTTCAGACAAGGAATTCAGGGATCACGGTCCCCTAAGGGCATTCTGTTGGCATACTCATGGGGAGTGGCACTACTGTTACTCGGTTCACTGAGGTTAGGAATGTCAAACATTCTGCAATGCCAGGGACAGTCTCACATAGAGATAAGGCCCCTGTTGGGACACAATGGAGATGTCCCACCAAATCTCACCTCCAGTAGAATATGTAACAATAGATTTTTCATCTATTTAATTGACACTCAGATGTAAAAGCGAAACAAAAAAGACTACAGGAAAAAGACTAAAAGACAAATATAATTAGTATGATATACTTGAGTATGTGCTCCGGAGAGAATGAATAGGTGTGAAACCAAAGATTTCCCTAAGCCTGTTCTGGTGGCAACACACAGGATTACTAGTGTTTAAGATAGTACATGGTTTTCTCGAGTTTTTATTCAAAACTGAACAGGATTTTTAAGCGCTGGTCAACTGGTACTCAGCAGAAGAAAGTGATTATCTTCTAACCAATGGAAGAAAAACTAGCTATGACACTGAGAAACGAGTTGTGGCCTCAAACATGGTTCTTTCTCACCATGTCTGAGACAACTTGACCTTAAACCGCCTCCTCCCCCGCCCACACTTCCCATAAAACCTGACTGCTTTGTCTTCTGCATACTATGGCGCTCCACTTGTTACCTAGTTTTGTCTACCACGTTGGACACCCATTAAATTATCAATCCCTTTGTTACTATTTACTATTTCAAACCGTATTATTCCTTGGAAAAAATCAAGTTAATTAGTATTTCCCTTATACTTCAACAGAAAAAGACTATGCTAAAGAACACTAAGCATTTTTTCTTTTGTTTCAGCTGGGAAGACGACTTGTCTATCGTTCAAAACCTCCATCTGGTAACAAACAAGAGCTGCTTTTAGTCCAGGCTACAAGAACAAGATCCATAGAGGACGAGTATTTCTTCACTTGAATAGGAGCAGTAAGACAGCAGCACGACGTTTAAGCACATTGTACAGATTTGGGTTCACAGTAATGGCAACGTTCTGCACCATACGCCGGCCTAACCAATTTGAGGGAGACATGCTGTTGTTCTAAAGGTTACAGGATTGGAAATGCAAGTTATTTTCTTTGGTTGAAGGCTTTTATTACCCATGGCCTAAGTATTATTCTAAACATTTTATATCTATACTTTGAGCTGTCCCAGTTGGGGATGATACACATCCAAAGTTACTTTATTGGTGTAACTATACGCTGAATGGCCACTAAATTGCAATAGTGGCATTCTCTGACAACACGAGACTTTAAATGGTCTTTTTCCCCAACCAGTCCACAGGAAAGTTCACAGTATACATTTTATCATTGTGGGATATGTGGAGTATACATTTTAATAATGTACAACTCCAAAACAGGTTAAGGGTTTTGAGGAATTTAAAATGTAAATGAAAGCCACTAGGTTATGTTCTCAGAACATAACTGTGAGAATGGTTTTTAATTCATGTTAAGAAATACTGTTCAGAAACTTAATTCTCTTAAGTGAACCGACTGTGTCTTCAGCCTTCATGGCAGTTCACAATTTGTTGTGCTCTACATTCATAATCAGTTTTTAGGTGATGTTTCATTTTAGCTGGTATATGTATATTATTAAGCTTACACGTAATTTGTCTACTAAAATAATATATATGTTAAGTTTAGGAAAATATTTAACTTTATACATGTCAAAAATGGCTCAAAACTAACTAAAAAAGTTGCTTTTAAAAGGTCTCAGTTAATATATAATTACAAGAAAAGGGCTGAAATCCACCTTCATAAACATTTATAAAGCATATAAATAACTTTCCTTTACAGACAAAAACAAGAGCATTGGGCTTACAAAAGAAAACCGATTGGGGCGAAGCTGGGTGGCTCTTAGGGCATTACTTTAGTGAATAATCTTCCAAATGTTTGAACATTTGAGTTTTGCATGTAAATATCTGAATATGAATAGTTCACAAGTCAAGTTGAAAAACAAGCATACATTTTATTACCTAGAAACAAATATAAAAAAAATTCCCAACAAAAGATGCTATTCTCTCATCTCCCCATCTTCTTCCTCTTCTTCAACACCCCTGATATAAAGGACATTATTACACCTGTAAATAGAAAAACAGTCCATTTTGTTGTTCCAACAGGACACCATGTATCTGATTCACGATTACTAGACTACATCCATTACAAAAATAGATTACTAAATTTACAGTATAGCATTTTTTTCTTCTCTTATTTAAAAAAATGTTTTTACCATTGATTTCTTAAAAAGCACAAGGCGCTTATTTTTTTTACCATGTGGTAGTTGTAAATGGTATCTTTATGACCTTTCAAAAGGAATAATGACTAAAATTTGGAAGTATGTAATTCTAGGAAATGAGCATTAACAAAAGTCCCTAACAGCAGCCAGATCCAACTAAAATTCAAAACCAAGCTCTTACAATTAAAACCACTAAAAAAAGCTAAAGTTAAGATCTAGGAAGTTTAATACTAATACAAGAAAAATCTTAAGGATGAATAGCTCCAAAATATTTAAATCTGTAATAAGTTTAGCAATTTCAAAGATTCCTGAAGTGTAGTTTTAGAATGTTAAGTTAAATTAATAGTGATTTTTAAGAAGTAATTCTGAAATTGAGGCACTAAACTAGTTCATTTACATGGGTATTTCTAATGCTAACAGTAACCCTTATGTATAATACTACTGGTTTTCTTACCTTATTAAAACTTCACCCAGGTGTCCAGACAATGCTCCATCTATGTATTCTTCTGTGTTTGCAAGCTTTAAATAAAAACAAAATATATTAATACAAAAGAAAAACAGTAAAACACACTCAATACTGGTGAGAGAACTTAACTGAGACCATTTTATACCTACAACTCATGTTTTTCTGTAATTAATATAAGTTTAGTTTTCTATTACTATTGTAGTACTTTTTAGTTTCATATAATTATTTGGTAAAGTTAACATTGATGGATATAGAGCTACTATATAATAAAGCTTGTTTCAACATAATTTTTAAAATCTCAGTTGTGTAGTATTTCTTTCTAACAGACATTAAAACAATGTGTCAAGGAAGGCAGTCTCTCAATTTATGAATAAGCTGATTAAAAAGTTTTCCAAAAATTCAGTTTTTTTTTAGAAGCAGACATTAACTTTCCTTGGAATAATTTTATATTGTAGTATCATATTGAGGAACCCAATGGGTGTACAAAGTTATAACTAAAATGCTTTTACATTAGTCACCAACCAAACCAAAGGACTGAATAAGAAATTTTTAGCCCTGAATGGTGTGGCTCAGTGGGTCAGGCATCGCCCCACAAACTGAAAGGTGGCTGGTTCAATTCCCAGTCAGGGCACAGGCCTGGGTTGCGGGCCAGGTCCCTGGTTGGGGGTGTCCAAGAGGCACCCCCTGATTGATGTTTCTCTGCTTCTTATTCCCTCCCTTCACCTCTCTCTAAAAATATGTACATAAATAAAGTTTTTTAAATTTTTTTTAAATCTATCTGCTAATAAACAGGGAACTACAAATTCTTAAAAGGAGGTTAAACAATTAAGAGTAACCTTACACACTTTCAGGTACTAAATAAATAAATCACAGGGACATGAGGTATAGGACAAGGAATACAGTCAGTATCATAATAACTGTACAGTGAGAGCTGCGTACTGAACGCACTGTGGATTTCACTGTAACATATACATAGAGAACACCGCTATGTTGTACACCTAAAACCAAGTAATTGTGTCAATTATACTTTAATTAAAAGCAGAACTCATTAAAAAAATTTGACCCAAAACCCCTTAGGAATTGGGATTTGAAATTCATTCATAAATATTTAAACTCAACATTTTCCTTACTGAATTGTGGCTGGTGGGTTACATACCTATTATGTGATAAACATTTGTTTATAAAGGGAATCTTTTAGAGACTTGAAGTTTGATGAAAGCTTTCATGTTTCAACTGTTAAGTGTGAGACATTTAAAAGTTTTAAAAAAGTAACCTTTATAGTTAGGGAACCACATTACTTCTAATTTTACATCAAAATGTTTAGCTTTCCTTCTACGTACAGGTAATAAACTCTAATTTTAATCTGTTAAAGATTATAATCTGTGCTACCAGAGACTCACAAAAGACATAAGAAAGAAAGGCGAGGGAAGTTTCCTTTGTTAGCTGGGCAAGTGGCAAAGTGGAAGAAAAATAGGGCGTAGAGAGGATGTGAGGTAAGGCATGTAAAACGTGTTAATGAATTAATGCTGCTACTGGATGTTATTCCCTCTCATATAGAAAACAAAAAGTAACCTCCTATACCAGACAGGTTTTGTCTGAAGTACACGTATTTGTTGAGGCAATTAGTTTTGTATGTTACAGCTCTTGGAGATAATGTATTCCTATCAGCGGATTTCTTTAAAAGTGATTGTTGGCAGATAGTCCTCACTATCACCTAACAGGCCCTCTTTGACCACGACTGCAACCTTTCTATCACCATTGCCCTAATTCATTCTGCTCTGGCCTTCTTGCTGTGCACTGAAGATACCAACCAAGTTCCTACCACAAATCCTTTGCTCTTGCTGTTCCCCTCAAAGTGGAACGTTCTCCCTCCACCTGCTCTCGCTTTTCAGCAACTGTTCAGCTGCTCGCTCAGTTCTGCTCTGTTTAAACTCCGTTCCCCTCTCTGGGGCTCTCCTGGGCTATCCCATCTCACATTGCACACTCTCATCACTCTGTTCCCTTTCCGCTTTCTTTTTCTCCATGGCCCCTCTCTTTACCCGATACCCCATCATACTGTGTTACCATCTCCCACCACCACAGCCAACTGCGTGAGGGCAGGGGCTTTGTTTTGCTCAGTGAGCACTGGCAGGGCCAGGCACACAATGAGTGAACAAATTCAAAGGCATCATCTGTGTGGTTCCTCGGGTACGTTTCAAACCTGGCAAGCTCACTAGGAAGTTACATTACTTTTAAAACCAAATATTCAATAGTAGCCTTTATTCATTTCTTCTACTGATACAATTCCTGTAACATAAAATTCACTTTTAAGTGTATACAAGTCAGTGTTTTTAAAATTGTACAGCCATCACCACTATCCAAGTCTGGAACATTTTCAGTATGTGGGATGTGTTCTTTCCAACTTTTCTATGGCCTTGGCAAATGGCTCCTGCTTAGGGAATTTCCCAGGTGAAAACCACGCTCCACAAAAATTTGGGGGACCTGAGCATCAGCTGTTCAGGTGGAAAACAGTATGGCAGTTCCTCAAGAAATGAACAATGACTGTATGATCCAGCAATTCCATTTCGGGACATGTACCCAAACACCTGGAAGCAGAGACTCTGGCAGATATTTGTGTAGCCACGTCTGCTGCATTATTCACAGTAGTCGAAAGATGGAAACAATTCCCATGTCTACCAACAGAAGAATGGATCAAAATAACATACAATGGGATATTATTTCAACCCTAAAAAGAAATTAAGTTCTGATACATGCTATACCATGTATGAGCTTTGAAAATTAAGTTAAATAAGCCAAAAGGATAAACTGTAGGATTCCATTTAGATAAAGTACCTAGAACAGAGAGACAGAAAGGTCAGTATTTTCCAGCAGCTGGAAGTGGGAGAAGTTACTTTTTAGTGGGTACAGAATTTCAGTTGGGAATGATAAAAAATCTCAAGAAATTGATAGGGGGGATGGCTGCACAACAATGTGAAAGTACTTAATGCCACTGAGTTGTACACTTGAAAATGGATGAAGTGGTAAATTTTATGTTATATAAAAAAATATATCACAATTAAAAAAAACTTGGCTGAAACATTTACATAAGTATACAGAAGTACAACAGACATGCAGTCATTTGATCGACTCACTATGCTGATATGTCTTTTCCCTCAAGAAATGCTTTTATGGAATTACTCTGATGTCGTACCTTTAGCATTCATTAAAAGACTTAAGAATTTCACTTGAAAAATTTCAGAGCTATGTGTTACTTGAAAGGTTTTTCTTTTTCTGCAAACTAGTGTGTTTCCCTTGTAACATTATGGACCAAAGGTCTGAGCTCTTCTTACTGTTAACGACTAGGAGTCAAATCTGTGGCCGTTGTTTGTTACGGCTGTACCAGCCTCCCTGAGCTTGACATTTTCCCTTAACTTCTGCTTTAACTGTCAATTTAAATAATTTCATCCTCATAAGTCACACTAAACCTTAGAGGACTAAGGTGAAGAAAAATAAACACAATTTAATAATTTTTATGCATCTTCAGCTTACCTGCATGTTCATATAGCCATCCACAGATACTAGGTAGCCTTTGTACTCCATTCCCCACTTAAGTTTCACCATTACTGGCTTTCCTGTTAATCCATTGAGGAAAGGTTTGGGATTGAGGGGCAAACTCTGCACAAAAAAACAAACAAAAAAACAACTCAAGTAATTTCTAGAGCTCCGCACCTACCACCTACTCTCTGCTACCAAATCACCAATATTTTATGGTATCCAAAGGAACCAAACTCTTGACTCGCTCTCACATAATTTTCACTTTTATTTGTTGAAGAGCATCAGAGAAAATTTAAATACCCAGTCAGCCAATTTCATCTTCAAACCATCAAAACTTATAAAAAGTATTCATTACTCCCTTAAGAAACACCGAATAGCTATTAAACATCACTCACGGTTGCAGGTTATAAAGAAACAAATGGAAGGGCAGTGGAAAAAAAATGCAGGCGACAGTCCCAGTCCTCAAGAAGCTCACAGTGGAGGAGGAAGTGCAGAACACACACAAGTAGACAATTCTATTGCAACGTAGAAAATGGCCCTCTTTTGGTGTAAGGGTACCAAACCAACCCAGCATTAAGAGAAAAGGAAAGTTGCCTGAAGTAAGTAATGGTTCCATTTTAAGGAAGAGAGGTATTTCCAGGAGGGAAAACAGCTCTCCTAGGCAGAGACTGCACATGTAACAGGGGGAAGAAGGGAACAACAAGGTGTATCAGGGACACACAAATTCAGGGCTGTCTGGGTCCCAAACATGAGGCTACAGAATGAAGAGGGGCAGATCACACCTGGCCGTCTTGCTTGAATTCTAGGAGCTAGAACCGGGACTTACCTGACTTAGCAGTGCCCTAACAGATGAGCTAATCACTTAGTTTGTTTATTCAGCAAAACAGTAGTATCCCCTGTAAATATATACTTTTTTTCCTTCCTTCATCTGCTCACCCATCAGCTCAAAGAACCTTAGCTAATAAATACCCTTTTAAGATAAACATATTCAGAGTCATCTCAAAGGCCACGAAAATTACGGCAATAACCTCCAAATGAAGTGTCCAGTTTTCACTCTTGTATTTCTCCAACTTACTGTCCACATGACCACAGTTACTTTTATCATGTCATATCCCTGCTTAAAATGCTTCAGTGGCTTCAAACTGCAGGTGGAGTTGAATGCTGACCTCCTAATGAGGCCCAAAGAGATCTTGCCGGACCCTATCTCATAACCACAGTTCTTGCAAAAGGCTGTGGCTTTCCGTTCATTCCTCCCAGTGGTCCAGCCTTAGGGCCAAAGCCCACGTTCCCTGAGCCTGGTACACTCTTCTTTCTGTTCTTTAAGGGGCGGTATTTCCTTTCATTTAGGTCAGGTTACACCCCTCCCCTTCCAAGGATGCCACCTCTGACCACTATTCTAATGTACCCTCGCGCCCTCTCACAGCATCCCGTTTGCTTCCTTCTTAGCACTTAATATTATTTGCAACTATATATTTCTATTTTTATTTGATTAATGTCTGTCTCCCACGCCTGATGGAATTAACCTAGCCCAGGGTCCGCATCCATTCTTTTCACCTCATATTCCTACCGCCTAGCACAGTAACTGGTAAGTAGCATGGGCTCAATAAAGATTTGCTAAAAGAACAAATCAACGCTCCAAAGCCTGGGCGCTACAGTCCCAGTATCGTGGAATGAATGCACACTTTCATTTCAAAGTGGGACGTGAAAAACCTCTTTGTCTTTACCCCGTGGCCCCAGCCAGCAAGAACACCTCAGGCACAGACTCAAATCCAAGCAGAAGGGGAATGCGACAGGGGCTCTCCCGGGGAGCCGAGGGCAGGGGAAGGAGCGCGGGATTTAGATCCCCTAGGTAGGCAGGAAAGGGCTGCAACAGCGTGCGCAGCGCCTCCGTCTCGCGCGGATGAATGGGAAACACGCGAACCAGCCAGCAGGCTCCGCGGCGCTGTTCACGCGCTCTCCCTCGCTTCCCGGAGGTTCCTTACCATCGCGACGACGAGCAAATGCTGCAGGTTACTCGCCGCCGACCCAGCTCCCGTCTGTCTTTAGTGACTGGAGCACTTCGACGACAGCCCAAATTGCGGAGCTTTTAGAGAAATGGCCGCCAAAAAGCAGCGTGACCCTTCACCTCCGACTACAGCTCTTACGCTTCTGTGATTGGACGCAAAGAGATGCGTGCTGATTGGAGGAGGTGGACAGGGTCTCCTGGCAACCAGAGACGCTGTGGTTCTCCGTTTCTTTTCAAAGACTCCGAGGCCTAACTGCTGCCTTCTGCCGCTGGAGTCCGTAGGGTCCTTGGAAGGCTGAGAAGGTAGTAAGGCCAGCAGGGTTTCTGGTGGGCTCAACCGCCTGCCTCGAAGGTTCGGCTTAGAGATGCAGTGTACCCGGGACACTGTAGAGCGTACGTGATTTCTCGACAACTAGGCTAATGGGGTTTTCCTTTGTTCTTTTACACCTGGAGAACGAGTTCAGGACTCATGGATTTCTTCTTGACTTTCCCACAGATTCTGTGATTTGGGGGCTCCTTCTGCCTGACTGTTCTGTATTCTGTACTGTTCATTTCGATGCACTTTAAAGGATGTGGGAGAAGCAAGACTAGACTACAGGAAGAGAAACGCACCAAATAAAATCAAGTGCAGAATGCATTTCATAGGAGGTCAAATTGAGTCTAGAATGTGGTGTGGTGGGCTCCCCTGTCCATCTGTTTCTTTTGCATTGCCCGCAGAGACCCAGTACAGTCTTCTTATATGTATTTATAATTAAGCAGGTGGGGGATGTTGACACTGTCCTGGACTAATCCTTGACAGAGTAATAGTATTGGTCGGAATCGCACTTGTTTTCCCCCAGTACAGGCTTTCAGCTCGCTCAGATCTGAAATGCTAAACGTAGCTCTTTGAGAAGACCCACTCTGAGTAGTACAGCTTTCGGTTTTGTTATTGCAACCCTAAGGAGATGAATTTGGAATTTAGGTTGAAATTTCGTGTATTAAATCGTTGTGGAGAAGAGGGTAAGACTTTGGAGGCAGCCTGAATTCAGAACTTCCGTCCATCGAGTGGGATGGTGTTGGGCAGTTTCTTAACCTCCTGAGGCCTTTGTTTCCTCAACTGTACATGGCTTTTAAAAAGTATTCCACGGCATTGTAAGGAGTAAATAATTAATGTGGAGAACGCTGATAAAATGCTGTAATTTTTAGTATAGTTTATGCCAAACAGTTGGAATTATTTACCACAAAGTTCAGTGGGGTTTTTTCCCCTTAGTTCCAGGATTTCTAATGGATATTTAGCTTTTGTGCAGACCGCGACCGTTCCTACTATGTGCCAAGCTCCTTCACAGTTCTTATAATGGGAATCTGACCACACAGACAGGTTTAGTAGTTATGGCCCCATTTTTGAGATGAGAAACAGGTTTAGCAGGTAACTTGTGCAGGGCCGCACAACTGGGTTACACCTGAAAACTCTTTGCTTTTTCTAGTTCAAATAGCTAACTTTTAAAAGCTCAATATATACTTTAGAACTCTTCTTTATTAATTTTATTGGGGTGGCATTGGTTAATAAAATTATACAGGCTTCAAGTGTACATTTCTACGATCATCCGTATATTGTACTGTGTGTTCAGCACCCAAAGCCAATTCTCCTCCCATCACCGTTCATTCCCCCTTCACTGTCGTCCACCTCTCTCCATCTCTCTTTCCCTCTGGTAATCACCATATTGTTGTATTTATGAGCTTGTTTTCTCCTCCTCCTCCTTTTTTACTCTAAATTCCTTCACCTTTTTCACCAACCCCCAACCCCCCCACCTCCAACAGGTGTCAGTCTGTTCTCTGTATCTATAAGTCTGTTTCCATTGTGTTAATTTATTTTGTTCATTAAATTCCACATATAAATGAAATCACATGATGTTTGTAGAAGATGTTTTATATATATTTTAGAAGATTTATTTTAGCTATTATCTCAGTGAAAGGAAACAAAATATTTCTGTAATCTATATAAAAATAATTATATTTAAAATTGGTTTTTCTCCTCATGTTAAATATTAATTTTAGGTGGACCCTAAAGCAAATTAAGTCTTGAACATCACTGGAAGAAAAAATGACAAAACTGAAGCTACCCTACTTCAGGCACATCCTGAGGAGGCACGGTTCTGTGGGAAATACAATAATGCCAGATTTTAAGCCGTTCAGTTTTCCATGTATGTCAAGAATGCTAGGCAGTAAAATATAATTATTTCAAAACTGCACGCTGTAAAATGAGATTTCGCAGTGATGTTAACACTCATGTCCTGATTCTCAGAGTACAATAGAGCAATTATAAATGTAATAAATTAAGAAGGGAAACTAAAACAGGATCTATTTCTGTCTGGTTATTTATAACAGTGAAAAAGATAAAATTTATCAGCAGAAAATATTTTTATTCATAGTATAATTCATCCATTTATAATTATTTAGACTCAATAAAAATTTTCTTTTCCCTACAGGTGCATATTCTGTTTGGGAAAAAGTCTAGATCTTGGATCTAAATAATAATAAAAAGAAGCAGCAGCAGCAGCAGCAGCAGCACTGTGGCTGTCATTTATTGAGCACTTATGTGGCAGTGCTTTACATAAAGTATCTCATTTAATTCTTACAGCAGTTTTGTGAAGTAGGTATTATTAGCTCGAATTGCTAGGTAACTTGTTCAAAGTCCCGTAAGAAATAAGCTTTCAAGCCAGGTTTGTCTTTCTCTGAACTTTGTTCCTGTAGCTCTTTTTTAATTTTATTTTATTTTCATTGTTGATGCAGTACAATTTTCTATCTTTTACTGCCATCCCAGCCCACTCACCCAGTCCTCCCCTCTTCCCTCCCATTTCCACCCGCCTCTAGTTTTTTACCCATGTGTTCTTTATATTTGTTCCTATAAACCCTTCCCCTTTTCCCCTGAAATTCCCCTGAAATTCAGGGGATTTTCCCCTGTCCCCTCTGAACACTGTCAGTCTGTTCTCTATTTCAGTGTCTTTGGTTATATTTTGCCTTTAGCTCTTCCAATCCAAACTGAAAGAACCTCAGGGAAAACAAAGCATCTTAATTCTTAATTCCACACAGAGTTCATAGCCTCAGTGAGACAGTGAAATTCCTATACTGCAGACTGAGTGTGAACTATATAACTGTCAACTTAATTACCCATACACATGACCTTCTGTATAGTATTGGATTCATCTGCCAGTCTCTGAATCGGGTTTTGGTGAGTGGTCAAAATTAAGATCACTCAGATCAGAATGTCTGCCATGCTTTATTTCATTCTTTGTCTATAAGCAGAGGACACAACAGACAGCTGAGAGTTTAAATTACAGGAAGACTTTCTTAGTTTCTTACAAACCCGCTTCCTCTTTTGAGCAGTCGCCTCATAGGCTTACGTAAATAGACATTTTCCCATGGCTCCCTGCTGATTCTGAATGAACAGATGCTCAGCCACCTGCTGGCTGGCAAATATATTGCTTATCCTCATCTTTACATTTTACTGACAGCCTTCATAATAACTTGCTTGGAAGACAAATAGCATGGAGGAATCTGACAGCCTATTAAGGAAGAATACAGTAGATTGCTGCTAAACACTCTACCATTTTAAAGTTTTTGTCATGATGGAAGAAGGAAAGGATGATATTCAGGACTATTGCCTTCTATCAAAAGCAGCATACTGTCCATTTGCATTGTTTTTAGAGAGGATTTAATGAAGTCAACATATAGATTATGCATAGTGTTTTGCCTTTGCACATGCTGTTCCCTTTGCATGGAATGCCTTTCTCTTCCTTCTCTGCCTGCCTTTCCAGAGCCAGCCCAAACAATGCATTCACTCTAAGTCCTTCCCAGACTCCCATGGTATCACTCCTTTCTCTGGGCTCTAGCAATACTTTTTTTCTGCCTCTGACATAGCAATTAACATGTTGCAGTATAGCCTATATAATTATGTGTCCATCTTGACTTAACTAGAACATTCTTGAACACAGGGACCATAGTGTGCTAATTCATCTTTGCATCCCCTGTACCCAGAACAGCACCTAGCACAGAGTAGGTGCTGGTTACTGACTGTTAAATGACTTCCCTGCCACAGTATGAGAATTTTCTTGTTGGGGTCCAGACCTACTTAGAGTATGGTTACTGAAATCATAGCAACTATTGAGAAGTGCCATCTCTGCTAATTCCTTCCCATGCAGGCTCTCCAGTTTCCCCATTCTGTAACATGGGTTGTAATGATACCGATCTCACAGAAATGAGTTTCTGCAAATCTTCTCAGTTCTTTTTCATGATTCTAGATCTATTCTGGTTTTCTGCTGTTTACTTTTGAGTCAATTAATGTAATTTATATTTTCCTAAGAATCATTCATATCTAGTTTTAATTTTCATTAAGTAATAAATATTCTATTTGTTGATTTTTCTCTATACATCTGGTTATACCACATCGCTAATTTGTGTGTGTATATACACACATACACACTCACACACACACACAAAACATACTCTCTTGTCTTTCTCTTCCTTCTTCTAGGGAGAAATATGTTAAAAAATTTTTAAATTGAATTTTTATTGTATTTTTTCCCATCACCATCTAGTCTCCTTATACCCTCTTCTTCCCCATTTAATAGTGGCTCTCTCTGGGTGGTATGATTATGGGTTATTTTAATATTTTTCTGTTTTATCCTAGATGTCCAGAAATCTATGCATATATTACTTACATGTCCACAAAAATACTTAAAGATGTCTTTATTTCCCAGTAAGGAAACTGAGGCCAGGAACATTCCAAAGGCAGATCGTGGCCTTAGACTGGAACCAGGAGCCCGGTGCTGGCTCTGCTACTTTCCGCAGTAAGGTAAGCACTGGGAACACCGCCACGATTTCTCCAGTTCTCATCTGATAATAATAAACCGAGCCACCAGGCCTTCTCACTTCCTCTTGCTCTCATATAAAGGGGAAGATTGTTAGAGCTGGGTAAAAGATCACTAAGAATTAATCTTTGAGGCCTAACTCACCTTGTGTGGTAAATTGAATTTTTTTTAGTGACTCAGCCGTTGATGATGAAAGATACTGTATAGCAAAATGATGATGGACAACTTTGTTAATATGTGAGGATAATATATTTGGCAATGAGTGAAACATTTGAACATGTAATTGGAAAGTGGATGCTATCTATTTGATGTTTTAAAATTTCTTATGAGCCTATAGTATGATTTTTAAAGGAAACGACTTTTTTAAAGGCTCCTTGTGGTTTTCCAACTCACAACAAATTACAAAGGAGAGACATGCAGTCCAGTTTGATTCAACAAGTATTTTTGGATTACTCACTTGGAATCTTTTACTAGACCACGAATAGGGATGCTTTAATTATCTCGTTAAGGACATACACTGCTTTCAAATAGACTTTCTACAATTAGATTTTAACTGTTAGACAACTGCTTCACTGCCCAATAAATCACTTGAGGGCAGGCAAGTCGCCTTAATTCATCTTTAAACTCTTAAGGACATGTTTGGTGCTGACCACATAGTAAATGCAACAACAATCGTGTCCCTTTCAACTAGGTTATATGCTTTAAGAAAGCAAAACATTTTCCTTATTTAACTGTTCTCAGGCTGTCGTTACCAAACCTTAGATCACTGGCTCAACAGAGGAGTTTAGCAGACTTTTAAATTAATAGCCATACTAGTAGATGACATTTTTCAACGTGCCAAACATGGTGCTATCCCTTAAATCATTCCACTGATCCTCACAATAGCTCTGTGCGACACTAGTAATATCTCCATTTTACTGAGGTTTGGAGAGATCATATATCTTATGCAAGGTCACATGGCTTTAACATGGTCTGGCCATAATTTGACCTAGGTCCATCTGATTCTAGAGGTGGATCTCTTCACTATGTTGGTCATCGAACTCGATAAATGTTTGGTGGTTAAATAAATGACTGAAGTTTCATTGCAGAAATTTGTATTTATTTCATCACTTTTTTTAAAAAAGAAAAAGATTTCTGATTTTATTAACACCTTCCTGTAAGAAAGAGTAACTATAAGTGCCTATAAGATTTATTTTACTATGTTTCAAAGATGTATCATTGTTTTTGTACCAATTATGTGTCAATTATAATTACAGATATTATTTATGTATAAGTTTATATGTCAATTATAATTGTAGACCCCACTGATTCTTCCAGTTTTAGAGAGATTACAATTTAGAATAGGTAATATACAAGGTCTGACCAGAAAAAGTCCAGCCATTGTTAATATAATGAGAATGGTTTATGTGACATCTATGTAACCTGGCAGCCAAGCAGAGTGGACTGGAACACACATGCATGAACAATGATGACTTCACTGTACTAGTCAGTGGGGGCGGTAGATGCCATTGAGTGAGCATGTGTACTGTGTGGCCGTCACATGCAAAATGACTGAGCAAATAAAGCAATGAATCTACATCAAATTTTATGTTAAGCTTGAATGTTCCTCTGTGGAAACAATCCAGATGATTCAGAAGGCTTTCAGGGACAATGTGATGAATGCAGTGCAAATAAAAGTGTGGCACAAATACTTCAAAGATGGTCAAGAATCCATTGAAAGTGACTCATTTTCTGGAAGGCTTGCAACAAGCAGAACACTTGAGAATGTTGAGCGTGTATGGGCTGCAATCAACAAAAATCAGCAACTGACAGGGTGAGAACTAGAAGCTAATCTGAGGATTCCCAAAACTAGTGTGTCTGAGATTTTGATGCAGGATCTTGGCATGAAACATGTCGTGGCAAAATTCATTCTTCAGCTTCTGCTACCAGAGCAGAAAGAACATTGTTTTGCAGATGTTAATGATTTAATTTGAACCCCTAGCAATGAACCAGATTTCCTTAAGTGGTTCATAACCAGAGATGAATCGTGGGTCTATGGCTGTGATCCTGAAACAAAGGCCCAGTCATTTTGATGAAAGTCACCTGGTTCTCCATACCCGAAGGAGTGGCGAAATTCCAGCAAGATGAAGACCATGTTAACTGTGTTTTTTGATTGGGAAGGTGTTGTCCATCATGAGTACACCCCTCCAGGCCAAAATATTAATAAGGAGTACTACCTCAATGTTCTTCATCGGTTGAGAGATGCAATATAATGAAAATGGCTGCAGCTGTGGGCAACTGGTGATTGGCAGCTTCATCAGAACAATGCACCTGCTCATGCATCGCGTCTCATTCAGAGTTTTTTTGCGAACTATCAAATCACCCAGGTAATTCAACACCCCTACAGCCCAGACTTGGTGCCCTGAGACTTCTGGCTTTTCCCAAAACTAAAATCACCATTGAAAGGGAAGAGATTTCAAAACATCCTTGAGATTCAGGAAAATACAACAGGGCAGCTGAAGGAGATTCCAATAAAGGATTTTGCAGAGTGTTTTGAACAAGTGGAAGAGATGCTGGGAGAACTGTGTGAGGTCTCAAGAACTGTGCTCCTTTGAAGGGGACTGAGGCGTCACTGTCCTTTGTACAATGTTCCTTGTACAAGAAAACATTCTTCAATAAATGTCTCTACTTTTCATAGTACATGGCTGGATACTTTCTAGACAGACCTTGTATATATTTAATTCAAATTTTATTTTTTACTTACTGTTTAAAAAATTTTTTTTACTGTATTTTTTTCCTTTACCGTTTAGCTGGACCCAACTCCTGAACTGTGGCAGGTATGGCTGGTCGAAGTGGCAGTACCACTGAAAGGGGGCATCTGTCTGGACTGGAATGGCCCGGTCTGCAAGGGCACCCAGCTGAGATGTGCAGCATACGTTCGTTGAAGCAGGAGCTGGCAGCCTCCTGAGCTCCTGCTAAAGCTGTGAAATGATAAATGATAAACCAAGTGCCTGCATTTCTGGTGGTTCCCCAACAGACAAAACAGAGCCAGTTTTCCAGAGAAGCCTCAGCTCGGGACACAACTCAGGGTGGCCTCCTGATGGACAGTCCAGCACATGGATGATATGAGGTCTGCCTATGCTTCTGGCCAGCATCTGAGGGTTCTTCCTGTGTATCTGACACGGAGTCATCCCGATAAGATCACGTGCAACTCCTACCCCATCCCACCATGATCTCCCCCAACTTCTAACCCTTTGGCCCTGACTCCTGGGTCTGTATGTCGTCGGGTCCAGTTCCATTGAGGTCAGCACTGCGCTGTATCTTAGCCACAGGAATCTTCCTCTTCCTGTAGTGCCTTGGAGGCTTCGAGAGCGGTATCATTTTCTGGAAAGTCAAGGGACCTGCCTCCCCAGACACAGCACTGTCAACAATGATGTCTTGCTTGTGGTTGCTCTTGGTGGCTTGCCCAGCCTACCCCTCACCACTGGTGACAGGGCTGGGATCTTCACTGTTCCATCTGGCCAGGTGTTGGAGTTGGGAGAAGAGAAAATATCACCTCTGTGCCTGTAATTCCCGTGGCCCAGCACAGACAGAACACAGCCAGAGCCTTCCAGGGATGCCGCAGCTAACGTTCCACCCCAGGACACTCTCCCCACAGACAGTCCAGCAGATTTGGTGGTCTGAGGCCTGTCTTTGCTCCTGCCCAGCTTCTGTGGGTGCCCCCTGTGTGTCTGGCACTTACTCTTGCTGATAAGCTTGCCAGCAAGTCCCCCACCCATCCTACCACCACCTCCCCCAACGTCTAACCCTTTGGCCCTGACTCCTGGGTCTGTATGTCGTCGGGTCCAGTTCCATTAAGGTCGGCACCTTGCTCTATCTTGGCGTCAGGAATCTTCCTCTTCCTACGGCACCTCAGAGGCTTCGAGGGTGGTGTCATTTTGGGGGCAGGCAAGGGACCTGCTTCCCCAGGCACCTCTGTTAATTTGTAGACTTCTTCTTGTTCTCAGAGTCTTGGCTGACCTGCCCCTCACTGCTGGTGATGGGCCGGGATCTTCACTGATCAGCTGTTCCATCTGGCCAGGTGCTGGAGTTGGGAGAGGAGAAAACACCTCCCACATGCCTGTATTTCTAATGGCCCAGCACAGACAGAACACAGCCAGAGCCTTCCAGGGACGCCGCAGCTAACGTCCCACCCCAGGACGCCCTTTCCGTGGAGAGTTCAGCAGATGGCTGGTTTGAGGCAGGTCTTGCTTTTTGGTAGCCTTTCTTGGTGTTCAGTGTATGTCTGACATCGACTTCCCCACAAGTCCCCTCCTGCTCACTCCCATCCCACCCCCACTCTCCCACCTGCTCACCCTCCGTGTCTGCCTCCTCAGGCTTCAGGTCATCTGGCCTGGTTTGCTTAACGTGGGCACCACGTTCCAGGTTGGAGACAGAAATTGTTAGGTTTGTGTTGGGCTTGGGCATCTTTGGGGTAAGTGGCCTTCTCCGTTTTTTTCTGTGGGCCTTCTTCCCTAGACCCCTGGTTGGCCAAAATCGCTTCAAGCCCGCTCTGGTCCTCGGCGGGGTGGCGCATCTTCACATTGCTGTTGGAAACAGGGCAAGGTTCTCTGTCAACCAGCTGTTCCTCCTGGGCTTGTGCCTGAGTTGCGAGAGGAGAAAAGATCTCTTACGCGCCTCGTGCCTGCTTTTCCATGTGCTCCCGACCAGCCACTGCGGCTGCTCCCTGTGTTTCGCATGAACCCTTGCCACAAGCTTTCTTTCATCTTCACTGCCAGTCCCCCACCATCCCACCACCACCTCCCCCAATGCCTCACCCTTTGGCCCTGACTCCTGGGTCTGTATGTCATTGGGTCCAGTTCCATTAAGATCAGCACTGTGCTCTATCTTGGCCTCAGGAATCTTCCTCTTCCTACGGCACCTCAGAGGCTTTGAGGGTGGTGTCATTTTTTGGGCAGGTAAGGGACCTGCTTCCCCAGACACCTCACTGTTAATTTGTAGACTTCTTCCTGTTCTCAGTGGCTTGGCCCACCTGCCTGCCTACCTCCCATGCCTACCTCCCCCACCTCCTCACCCTTGGACTCCATCTTTTTGGCTTCCAGGTTATCTGGCCCTGTTTGTTTAATGTGGGCAACTTGTTCCATGTTGGTTTTGGAAATCCTCTTTCCGTGGAGTCTGGGCAGCCTCCGTCCATGAAAGGGTCCTGGTTCCCCAGAGTCCTGGGTGGTGACAGGGATTTCAGGGTTTCCGTGGGTCTTGTTGTTGTGGAGCTCCTGGCCCGCACTGGCGGAGACGTGCCCTGGTTCTTCCTCGACCACCTGTTGGTCCTCTGTAACCACGGTTGAAGTCTGCAGTGACAGCGCCGGGTTGCCGCTTCCGAGGCCTCAAGCCCTGCTTGGACCTAGTCGCTGCTGCTTCTTCCCACTGCACTTTCCGCTTCAGCTCAGGCCCAGCCCTGTGTTTGCACGCACCTCCACCAGGAAAGTTAGATTCACCTCCAGGGCTCGGGATAAACCTCGGGCAGAGGACCCCATCCATACTCCACATCCACCCCGCCTGGCTTGACCTGGTGTGTGAGCATGAGCAGCCGCTCACCAGTGTTCTCATCAGCTCCTGCTTGGGGCAGGCCTACCCACGTGAACCCCCTTAAACACACACGCTCACACAAGTAAGTGTCTTAGGGCCACTCAGGTGTGATCTGAGTGGTGGCCTGGCCCGAACAAAACCACCCTGGTCCTCCCTCAGTTACCTTTCTGTTGCGCTGTGAAAAGGGCCATAGGCCTCTGGGATGAGCCTTGGACCAACGGTGTCCTTTCTTCTCACTGCCTCTTTTAAGGCCATGGCCTCAGGACGTCCCCACACAGCAGCAGAACATCCTTACTGTTGAAACGTCTAACCAAGTGACCAGGGTAGGGGCAGCTTTAGAAAGTGCCTTCCTGGTTATCAGGGTTCCAAGTTCTGTTGGGCTCTATTGTCAGAAAGTGAGGTCACTCTGTGGGTGCTTTACCCCAAGCATCTCCTCAGATGAGCAGTGACTTCACTTCCTGATAACCAGTGGACCTTACCACACTGATCATTGACATCCTAATACTGCCCCTATCAGGCTCACTTGGCTAGAGACATTTGCATCACAGGATGTCTTCTTGTCTGCCCATCTCCCAAGGCTGCTGGACGAGCAGCAGCTGGTCCACGAAGACCCTGGCCTGGTCTCCACCACCGAGGGGCAGGTGTGCCACGCCACCAAGGGCCAGAGCAGGCCAGAAGCGACTGTGGCCACCTGAGTTGTAATTAAGCTATATATACAGTTTTGTGTCTTGCTCTTCTTGCTAACTAGTCATGTAACTATTTTTTAAGGGATATATTTAACTGTGTTTTATGAGGGATCCTGTTAACTGTGTGTTTAACAGGAAGTGAGTGAAGTCACAGACATTACCAGACAGTACCCCGGCTGCCTGCAGCGGGAAAGAGACTGAAAGCGTAGTACTCTCAGGAAGCTAGTTATGCATCATGAAAGGAGGGGGGAGCTGATGTAAATCCAACGTGCTTCCCAGGGAAACTCCCTAGATAACATTTAGAAAAGCAGTTTCATGTGTTGCTTCAAATTTGCTTTGTATAAACAAGCTACAAGAGAGAAAAAGGCGCCCCCTATATATACAAAAAAGAAGCAGAGGAAACAACTTAGGGGGAAGTCCTTTGAGTTGACTGGGAGGCTTTCAGAGGTGCTGAACCTGTATTTTATTTTCAAAGACTATCTTTTAGTTCAAGGACTTTTGTCTCAGGAGGTCTCCAGTCCTAAAAACAGCTGTCCCATCGGGTTATTGACACTAGAAGCTTGCAAGAAGAACGCGCCCCAGTGAGGCCCCTTCCCATGCACTGACTCCCCACTATGTCAGGTAGCTTCACAGAAGGAAGATGTTTAATTAGTCACTGTAGCCTTTACTTCTCATTCTAACCTTCAAGATGAGTGCGTTTTCCATATCTCTCTGCAACTGGAAGATATATGTTCATTAATATTTTCTTGATCTCGCGCTCTTTCCTCCTCTGCCTCACCAGTTAGTCTTTGCACAAATAAGCCTGCTAACTGTATTCAGGTAGCAAATGAACAGAGTTCATTCTTGTCAGATGAGGCCCAGGGGCCCAGTGGATCTATTTGGAATGTGTTAGGCTATTTGTTAACTAAGGTGAGCTATGGTGAATTTTTGGAAGCAAACAAACAAAAAAAAGGAGTTTTTTGCTCTAAGACTGGGAAATGAGTTTTGAAGTTAAGTTTACGAACGGTTAAGATGTGGGATTTTTTATTTTGTTGTATTCAATCCTGATGGCTAAGAAAGAATGAAGATGTTAACAAATGCTAATTTTGGACAAAAGGTGTAAGAATGATTATTTTCTGTATTCTTATGCATTTAAAACAATTTCCCCTGGGAAAAGAAGCCCAAATTTCTCCTTTTTGAAAATGTCAGAAGCAATTTGCCTAAAATATGACTTTATCGCATTAGTACAGCGGTTCTCAACCCTGGCTGCTCATCAGAGAACATTGTTTTTTTAAATCCCATGCTTGAAACCAAATACAGAGATTCAAATTTAATTGTTTTGAGTTGGGACCTGGGCATTGTTATTGTTTAAAAGTGTTTCATGCGATTCTAATTTGCAATCAGGTGTGAAAGTCAGAGGGGTAACTAACTAATGTGCTGCCTTATCTACGTGTCTTCCCGATCTCTCAGTAACCTCCTTGGGAAGGAAACGGACTCCGATACTTCACTTTATTCCTTATGTAACATTTGATTGTATTTGTTGTTTGATTGAAGGTAAAAAGGAAGATAAGAAGGAAAACACATGATCTGTAATCTGAACTTTACAATTTAATGATGAACTTGTGACCAGAGACTGAGTTGGTTTATTTTTGAGTCTCAATGCCACACAGCTATATTATTGTCAACCTTAAACTAAATCACAATGCCTGTCTTTGCTGCAGTGACTAGAAACTTTACATCCGTGACCAGAATAATAACAGAATGTGTTCCAAGGCCCTTGTCAGTCTGGTCAATGAATGCGTGTTTGGCTAAATGCCAAGGGGATCTGCTGCCCTCTGGAGGGTATTGTGTTATCACAGATGAAAACAGCATTGTCTGTGTGTATTTCCAGAGCATGCGAGAAGTTATGAAACAAAAAGGTTTCATGGTCAAATTACTTGGAAAATGCTACATTTTCTCTGTGTAAGGAAGTTACAATGCAAATTAGCAAAATAAAGACTAAGGAATTTTATAAGAAAGAAATTTGGTTTCCAAACTAATTGTACCATTTTCTCTCCCACCTAAATCCGATTAATAGTATTTGGGAGACTAATATTGTACAAATAATATTTTATATTAATAATACATAAATAACATTCTGGATTTGGAGGAGAGAAAGGAGAAAAATTTAATGAAAGATTTCTTAAGCAGGCTAGAAAAAGGGAAAGATTTATAAAGTAGATGCATTAAAACAAAAAGATCCCATGTCTGTGCAGTGACATTTTGACTGGAGATTTATAACTGGCTGTGGCGGAGTGATGTGCCACACAAGAATATTCATGTTTATCTTTCTTCTTACTTTTTATCCTAATGAAACATTTGAGATGTTTGTGCTGCTGCATGGCAAACGGAATTGTGACCTGTACTTGTTAACATGAAGCTGATTTCATGTACTGTCAGATGTGTTGGGAATCATATCAGACCAAAAGTGTGCAGATGTCAGGAGGCCAGGCATAAGGGCATTCCACCCAGTGGCCCAGTGAGTGCAGCCATAGACCACTTTTGTGCAATTTACAGCCGTGTTTTCCTCAGGCTAGGAAGTAGCACATTAAGTAGAAATAAATATTTTCAGTCAAGAGGCTTTTGTGTCATTCTTTCATGTCATTAATTCTGTGATCCTTGCCAATTAAATATAATTCTCGTATGTAAAAGGAAGACAGAGCTACTGTGTGTGAAAATGCTCCACACAGCTTCTGACGTATAGTAGGTGCTCGACAATAGAAATTCAGTGTAAAGATGACTGTTGAGCACAGAGATGACAACAGACTAAAGAATCATGGGGTCAGCCTGGGAAGAAGCTGAAACTGGAAGTAGAGACTAAAGAGACACAGCCAGCCCATCTCAACTTGCCAGGACTGTCTCAGTTTTAGCACGCAAAGTCCTACATATGATGTTGAGGAAACTCCTCAATCCTGAGCAAACTGGGATGGTTGGTCACCCCAACTCAGAACCCAGAGTATCCCAGGAAAAAAGCTAGTGGTCAGAACACACACACAGAGGCCGGGAACATTAGGACGAGTGCTCCTGAGACTGGTATTTCTCAGGCAGATGGCAAACCAGTCTCAGAGCATGGGTTGGCATAAGCCCACAATTGGAGGTCAGTAAACACTCAACTGAGGGAATCTCAAGGTGCTATGCAAGAGACATTTTACAACTAATTTCTTGAGTGGCCATGGTGATAAGACTGAAGTAAACAATGAGGAAGGGATAGTCTCTTCAATGAATAATGCGAGGGCAGTTATTTACCATGGGAACAGATAAAACATTCCCTACCTCACACAACACACAAAAGTTAGCAACACAGAAGCCTAAACATGGACATCAAAACTTTAAACATTTTAGAAGAAGGTAAAGGAGAAAAGCTTCATGAAGGATTTCTTAAATAAGCTGTAAAAAGGGACAGGTTGATAAAACTGGTTGCGTGACAATGACGAGACCCCGTGAGCACGGTGAAGAGCCAAGCCATGAACTGGGGAACGATAAATGCAACACCTCGAACTGATAAAGCACTTGCATCCAGAATATGTTTTTAAAAATTCAACAGTTCTCTAAGAGAAATGCCAGCAATCCAATAGGCATTTGAGAGGAACAGGCAATTCACAGAAGAAATTTGAGGGGTAAAAACCATTTTTGAAGAAGCTCAGAGAAATGTGAGCTTCTTCACGACTAATCAGAGAAATGTGAATTGAATAGAATGAGATAACATTTACAGTAAGCAGATTGTCTGAAATTCAAAAGCTTGACAACACCAGCCGTTGGTGAGAATGTGAAACAACAGAAATGCTGTTGCACTGCTGGTGAGGGTGTAAATTGGTACAATCACTTTGGAGAACAAATTCTCAAAATTATTGATGTTTTAAAAACAACTAAACAAACAAGAAAAACAGAATCATGGGCACAGAGAGTGTTTTGATGACTGTCAGCTGGGAGGGGGAGGGGAGAATAGGTGAAGAGGAGAGGGGATTAATAAATATAAACAGGTAATTACAGAGTAGCCACAGGGATGTAAGGTACAGCATAGGAAATGGAGTAGACAAAGAGTTTGTACGCATGACCCGTGGACATGAACAATGGTGTGGGGATTGCCTGAGAGAGTGGGGGGTGCTGGATGGAGCGGGGCAAAGGGGGGGAAATTGGGACAACTGTCATAGCATAACCAGTAAAATGTGATTTAAGAAAAATATAAATTAAACACAGGGATCACATGTGTTCACTGTTCCATGGTTTACAAGAGCACGAGCTGGAAAAACCCCAAATGCCCATCAGCTGTAGAAAGAATTGCGGTATAATTCAGTCAATGGATTACTGCCCCACAGCACTTGAAATAAATGATAGAGCTAAATGACCTATATGAATACGTCTGAAAAGCACAATATTGAACTAGAAAAAGCAATCGCAAAAGGATGTTTACAATACGGAATTTACTTCAAGAATAAAAAATACAATGTTTGAATTTTATAGACACACAAATAGGTAATTAAAATATAAAAACAGTCACAGAGATAAAAAACCAGATAGTGGTTATTTCTGAGGAGAAAGTGGAAATGAAATCAGCAAAGAGCCGACAAGGCAGTAAACGTGCCTATTAAGTTTTACTCTTAAACAACCTCAAGCAAATGTAGCAAAATGTTAAGATTTGCCAAAACAGGGCGATGGGTACCTGAGTGTTACTTTGTTCTCCGTACTTCTCTTTATGCTTTGAGTGTTTTGTGTTTTTAAAGAAAGTAAACGCAATGTTATTAACATTTAAATTCAGATGATTTCAAAATGACTCCAAAATATTTTAAAAATAATGAAGCGGAACTATGCTTTTAAGAGTTGGCCAAGCCAAACTGAACATTTTTTCCAGAGTGAGGTGAAGCCACCCAGTGTCCTGGCGCGCACGTCACTTCCGCGGAACCAACACTAGATGTCGCTTCACCACATGCGTTTAGTTCACTGGGAGCACTTTCTGGCTGAAATGAGAACTGGACTATGTTTTCTCATTTTTTCTCCTGTGAATATAGAGAACGAGAAAACAAGAGGGACAAGTCTGTTTTTGTTCATCGTTTTATCCACAGCACCTACTGCACATAATAGGGCTGCAGAAATATTGTTAGCTGAACAAGCGATACAAGACTAACAAGAAGAATGTTTAATATCACCAAAATGTGTAAAATTACGTTTGAAACAGTTTTTCTTTCTTTCTTTCTATTGGTGTTCAGTTACAGTTGTCCCCATTTCCCCCCCCTCCACACCTCATTGCCCTCCCCTGCCCCGTCCAGCCCCCGCTCCCAGACAATCCCCACTCCATTGTCCTTGTCCGTGGGTCCTTTGTGCATGCTCCTTGACTTGACCCTTCCCCTCCCTTCCCCCTCTCCCGCCCTCCCCGCCTCTGATCACTGTCAGTTCATTCTTTATTTCCATGTCTCCGGCACAGTTTTTCTTTTAAAGGCAGCTAGGTATTTGAAGGGTTCTCCACAGAAGGGTTGTGACGCTAATCTAAAAACTCAATCTGTGGTCAACGGGGAGGGAGCACAGACTTTGATTCAAAATTGTATTGCAGTTGGTTGGCATGCTGGGTCTTCCACAAACAAGGACTCCCTGAATCAATAACTATCATCCTTTCAGGGGGATAAGCCCCTTTGAGTCATGAAAACCATGGATTTTCTAAACACTTGTATACAAACACACAAAAATTGTTCCCTGCAGTCTCTGCAGACTTGCAGGCCTCCTTACAGCTGATGCGTGGACCCCCAGGTCTGGATCCCCTGCGGAGACAGGCAGAAACACCTGCTCGGGTGCATTCCCTGAGCTCCTTACACGTTGCTTTCTCTCTGGCAAGAACTGGAATGTGCAGCCAGGCTGCACACAGGATGCAGCTCAGCAATGCAGTCACGTGAGTGAATGCTATGGAGACTAACGCTGCAAATTCAGGTATTGACCAAACGTGGGCAACATCTACTTTCGAAATATATGGTTTATTGATACCAAGAAAGTATTTATGTATTTTTCTATTAGAATATTTAAGAGAAGAAAAATGTAATAACATACTTCGTTGCTAAAATATTTATTTGGAAGCTTGTATTTCCCTGGGGAGCAAACTAAACCCCAGAATTGCCCCACAAATTAAAAATATTTCCTTGTGCTTGTTTGTCCAACTGTCTTCATTTTACACATCCTAACTGAAAAGAACTTTTAAATCTTTATTATTGATTTTCTTGCCTTGTAAATACTTGAACACGAATCTTTAGCCCAAACTAGGTAATTGGTGATTTTATGAATACACATTAATGACATTTTACTACATAGTGTAAAAATACTCAAAATCAAGCAAGCTTGAAACTTCTTTACCTTCTTAGTTCCAGGTTCTTTCATTATTCAAAAGGCCTGCTTTTCCCAGGGACTCTCAGTTCCGTTAGTCACCATATGAACCTGCCAAAACCAGGTGGTGAATGACAAACAGAATTCCTTGTCATGACAACCCTTTCATTTAAGCTACTTACGCATAGTTACGATAGGTACATTGGGTCAATTTTTTAAAAACTGTAGTTTTGCTCAATAGAGATTATGTTAATGCTATGAGAATGGTACCAAATGGTACCAGAGTTTATTGTTTCTCCTATTGTACGATGCAACTCTACTATATGTGCTAGGCCATGGTAAAGTAAACCAAGAGTATTTTAGAGTCCTGATTTGGTGCGATAACCACATACAGGCCCAGGCAGTCACAGAACCCGTTGTGAAATTACATGTGAAAAGTGGAACATGCTGTTAGAGGACAGAATCTATCTTGGGTTCTAATTATCTGACCACTAAAATCTTCTAATAAATATGGAAGAACACATGGAATTCATCAGAGACTTGCAAGGCTCCCTGTAGCTGTTTTACTGGGACAATTAAAGAAAAATTCCATTTTGTTTCCTTAAAACAAAAAACCTGAGTAATGGTCCATTTTTTTTTGTAATTGACAATGACCCTAGGATGTTTTCTTAAACAAAATGATTAGTACAAACATTTTAACTCTGTGGAGATAAATTTATGTTTCACAACTAAATATGTAACCATTTAAACAACAACATATTTAAAATTTCATTTATTGATTTAACTTTGGCCTTGTGAGAACAGGAACATCTGACTTCTCTTTATAAAAAACTATTGTAAGTGCTTAATTGAATGACCAACTTTCTCCTAGGAGAAAATCATGCTACGTGAGTCACGGCAGGCTTACTCAATAGACACATACTTTCAGTTCTGTAGCCAAGATCTTACAATAACATTTGATCATTGTCAATATATGGTTCCATGATAAAATATTTTCTTTTGATATGCTAATACCACATGCTGAATTTGTGTTTATTTTACCTTAACTCATGGCACTTCAGAAATTACTAGCCTTTTCTAAAGTGTAGAATTTCTTAGCTTGGGGAAGAGTTCGGTGAGGACTGCTGGGAGTTAGCATCAGACCCTGGGGGCTCCTGAATGCTGACTCTACTTCTTTACGCTTCTCCTGGGGAAACAGACTTTATAGCTCAAGCTATCTTCTTTTATTAAGTTGTAAGCATGTTTCAAGGTCTTG